TACGCGCGGCCTGGGCTAAACTAGATGGCTGGGACCCACGAGCAGCAGCTTCTGCATCTCCTGCAGCTTTGCTCGTGAGTCCTAGCCATCTAATTTAGCCCCAAGCCACGCCAAGTGAGCCGCGTGGGAGCTACTCTCAGCGCTGGCGGTAGTCGCCCGAAAACCGCAAATTAAGTCTCCGGAAGTTCGCAATTGATACGTGACTGAGGCCCTGTTTTTTGCCTGTTATTCGGAGGATAGCCAGTCTGTAGATGCTACTAAAAAGAAAGCTGCGTTACCAATGCTGTACGAGCCGCGCCTTGTTCCGATCGTACTTAGCCGAGTTTCAATGGCGTAACAGCCACAAACAGCAGATTTTCTAGCACTATTTAGAACGTCTGTGCCATAATTTCCAGATATAAAGGCATACAATTATCGGGAAGTAGTCGATTGGACATAAACTTTTTTCCCGTTCCTTATTAGTTTTGACTTCAATTTTTTAATGTTTACAACGCGTGACTGTGGCCCAAAAGGATATTTTGCGGCCACCATCTTTACCGACCGCTTGTCAGAGGATAGCCCAGACTTGTGTGACTGTCTCCACATTGTCAGATTGATCATCAGTTAAGCAAGTGAAGGACACTGTTCTCGTTCATGGTACAGCCAGCAAATGCTTCTAGACCAGTGTTTTCCAACTTTCTTGTGCCATGGCACACCTAAGCTTTTCTAAAATTCTTATGGTCCCTACGTAACTTAAACTCTGGACGAGTCCATTTTCGAATTGCACCCCCCCCCCCCCTTTTCCAAATAATTAAATTGCCCGTGGGGCATGGGCCAATATTTCGTATAGATCAATCAGCATTTAGTGGAACATCACAGCAGGTGGCTTTTACTTCCCTTGATATTTTCTGTTATATAATTTATGCTGGGTCAACCTAGGAACCCAGATAAATTATAAAATGACACTCTGTGGGGATTAGAACCCACGATAACCAGGTTGGCAAGCAAGTGGGATAGCCACTGGTATTTTACAACTATTTCTATGATGACATTTATGTTTAAAAATCCTGTGGTAGTTTTTCAAATGAGTGTCTTAAAAGTACATTTTGCCACAGAAATGATGCCTGTTCTACACATGTGTACTTCATTTTAAGTGTTATGTTGCAGGGATTTAATGCTATTAAGGCATTTTTAGTCACCTTATTGTTGACTGTAATCCTAATTTTTGTCTACATACATTAAAACTTTGTTAAGAAAAAAAAAATATGTTGGATCTTCATGCAATCTTTTTTTTTTTTTCTCCCTGTTACCATCCACTTGCTGTGAACTCTAATGAAAAATTCTTTTTGTTTGTCCACTTCTGGACTGGGGTCTTATAATAGAGCTTGTGGTTTGTGTGCACATTCATTTGTCAGATTTAGCTTACCTGTATGCAGACTCTTGGTTGCTCACCTCTCAGGCTGATGCACTTTGAATTTGAAGGAAATAGGACTTAATCAGTGACCTAACTGAGGTAATCTGTGGTTGGACAGCCCTGTGTGAATATTTATACAGTAGATGCTACAAAGTAATCTTTGGTTGGACAGTTCTGTGTGGATATGTATACAGTAGATGCTGCAAAGTAATCTGTGGTTGGACAGTTCTGTGTGGATATGTATACAGTAAATGCTCCAAAGTAATCTGTGGTTGGACAGTCCTGTGTGGATTTGTATACAATAGATTGTACAGAGTAATCTGTGGTTGAACAGTCCTGTGTGGATTTGTATACTGTCATAGGCCTAGTTAGCGAGCCACGGACCGGCAAGGTCATACCAGAGGTTTGTGACAGATTATGGACGCAATAAGCCGTTCCCAGTTTAGAGGCCAGGTCGAGTTCACTCAGCCGACACGGAGTGCTACGGATTTTGCTATGAACTCGGGAGGAAATACAAAAGGCTTGGTCCAAGCGGATTTGGGGAGTTGTGAGCGGACAGTTGTGGACGACGGTTGTGTGCTGGTCGACAGAGAGAGACAGGACAACAGTTTAACGCAGATACAAATCCTAAGGACGAAAGCTCCCCATTTATCTGTCAGGGACCTAAACTACTCTGCTTGTTTTATATGGCTCGCTAGGAAGGCCAGCTGACAGACTCTACTACCCAGACACACTTAAGGCGACACTCCGGCTGAGTACAACCATAATCTTTAATATACAATGAACATTAGACATACAAACACTTCAACTGGGCTAAGCAGCTCCCATCCGAAGCTGCCTTGGCGATGACAGCTTTACACTCACTAATCACCCCAGGTCAGCTCCCATGGATCCAGGGGAGCACGACTCTTAGCCAGCAGTGTCTCAGTGCCAATCAATCCGCCGTCGATTGCTAAACGGGACTTCAGCGATACACGGGAAGTGTATGGCCTAAGCGCGCCCGGGCAGTGTAATCGCCATTACCAGGCCCGTCACCTATGATTAACTGCTTAAACAAATACTACCTGTAATATCTAATACACAAAGACCTTAACTCTCTCTACCATCTAGCCGACAACAATAAATACAAATACGGCCTATCACAGACACTAAATACGAAAATCCTATTTGTACCTAACCGTCACTAACCTAACCGTTACCTCGTCGTTAAACTGTTGTCCTGTCTCTCTCTGTCGACCAGCACACAACCGTCGTCCACAACTGTCCGCTCACAACTCCCCAAATCCGCTTGGACCAAGCCTTTTGTATTTCCTCCCGAGTTCATAGCAAAATCCGTAGCACTCCGTGTCGGCTGAGTGAACTCGACCTGGCCTCTAAACTGGGCACGGCTTATTGCGTGAACGAGCTGTACGTTCACACACTGAGTTTGTGCTGGAGGTCAACTGGTACAAGCATGATGATTCATGATTCTGAACTTGCCTCTGACATATACAATAGATGGTACAGAGTAATCTGTGGTTGGACAGTCCTGTGTGGATTTGTATACAATAGATGGTACAGAGTAATCTGTGGTTGGACAGTCCTGTGTGGATTTGTATACAATAGATGGTACAGAGTAATCTGTGGTTGGACAGTTCTGTGTGGGTATGTATACAGTAGATGCTGCAAAGTAATCTGTGGTTAGAGTCTGTTCTGGTATGTGTTCAGTGACATGGTTGTCTTTAAAGTTCAAAAACTTCTTTCTTGTCAGTTGCTTTATGCTGTGTTTAATATGCAGATTAAACCAAAATCAGTATTTTGATCAGCAAATGCACCTAACATCTCTCTTTCTCGCAAAGTACTTAATTTGTTTGCCTTGTGCTCTAATGGAGCTGTTGTGGTGTAGTGGCTAGAAGCTCACATGTGGATCCAAAAGTTGTGGTTTTAAATCCGGACGGATTTAAAAAAAAAAAGAAATGACGTTTGCTCCTAGGTTAACCCGGCATTAAGTGTGTGCCAGGTAAAGTTCTGGGAAATAAAGGCAGCTGGCTTGATATTCACCACATCACCTACTGAATGTCAATTGGTCTATAAAAATAGGTGTATCACTATATGTCCAACCTGTCTGAAGGCATCAAAAGGGGTTATTTAGTTTTTAACAGAAAGAGCAATAGAGCATGATACGACATGCAGTCACATTTAAAGACCAGAAAAAAGCATTTGATAGAGCGGATAGGAATATGTTGTGGAATTGCTTAGGAAGATATGTAATCAGCAAACATCTAACTGAAGTGTGTAAGAGCTTATATACATCAAGTAAAAGTTGCATACGAACAAAAACAGGTACACCGCAACCTTTTGAAGAGTAAGAAAAGGATGTGTGCTATCTCCCTTGCTTCTATAACATACATCGACAACATATGAAAAGAAGCAGAGATCAAAGGAAATGATGGTATCTCTGGACTGTTATTTGCAGATGACCAAGTATTAAGAAGAGAGTTTACAGAACCACATAAACCTAGTCAATACTAAGTGTGAGAAATATAACATGAGGATTAGCATTGATAAGAAAGAGACAATGGTAGTAGGCAGACAAGAAGAAACCGAATCAATTAAAGTAAGTAACACATAAATAACACAAACGAGAGAATTTAAATATCTAGGGTCATTTTTCACCTCAGATGGAAGAATAGATAGAGAAATAAACATACGATATGCGAAAGCAAATCAGGTTATGGGAAAATTATCAAGGCTTTTGATGCATAGAAAGACGCCTCTGTCAACTAAAGCCAATCTTATAAGAATGGTTTATTGGTCAACATTGTGCTACCAGTGCCAAACATGGACCCTTACTCCAACTAAAGAGCGGAAGATCATAACAACAGAGATGAGATGTCTTAGGAGAGTTGCCGTTGTGATAAGAAGAGATAAAATCAGGAATGAAGAAATAAGAAGAAGACTAGGGCTGAAACCAGTCACACAATTCATTAAAAAACAACAAATAAGATGGTTTTTGCCACCTGACAAGAATGCCGTGGTACCAACTGCCAAAGAGAGCCAAGGTGAAGAAATAAAATGAACACAGAGCAAGGGCAAGATCAAGTAAGAGATGGAGGGACCTAAGAAATGAACACCAACTTGTAGAATGCATTGAAAAAAGCACACAAACAATCCTTACATCTCCCCCAACACCTCGCTGAGTTAAATGGTGGAAGAGAAAAAGAAGAAAAAGTTTTTAACTTGCCCTCTAAAGGTTATGTGTGTGATTTTGAATTCCATTCTTCAGCTCAAGTATTTTGAAGATCACCCGCGGCCATTGCTGGAACTACAGTTTTACCTTTTGTGTGATACTCTCAGTAAACAGCCACTCTGTTGAGAGAAAGAGAGAGAGAGAGAGAGGGGGGGGGGGATCTTATAGGTTAAAACCTGGTGCAGTGAAGTCAGTCTCTTAGACTCCAAACATCCTGTAAGTGCGCTGAGGACTATACCATCATATCATCCTGTAGAAATGTGTAATAATCTTTAAAAAACAATTGTAAACAACATAACAACTGATAAATATTTTATTTTTATTCCTATTCAGAAATCATCAGTTTTTATGTCAGTGTGAGATTCAGCCTGTTGTAACATGCCAACGTCAGAGACTGTTACCCAGTATGCCATGCAGGTGGAGAGAGGTCAAGGAAAGTTCAAGGACTTGTCCCCTCTGAGACTATCCCCAGTGAACCCTGTAGTCTCAGACAAAACCAACTACTACGGCATCGAAGTCCGTGAAAAACTTATCTGGAAGGATTGGGAGAAAGGGAAAGAATATATCAAAACTCTTGTTCTGAAAAACTTGGGTGTGAAAACTCAGAAACTAAAGTACAAGTAAGTATTTTCTCATAAATCTTCTTCTTCTTCTTCGCGTTCACAGGCTGTAAACTCCGGCAGAAAGTTCTGGTTATTTGTCCACTTCAGGACTGCAGCCCTGTTCCAGAATAGGGCCCCGGAACCACACAGGGATCTTGTAAATCATTCAAGGGAATAGAGGTTAATAGTTGCATCGGAATATAATGCTAGAACCACATTTTTATAATCCATCATGAGTTACGTGTTCAGCATTATTCTGGCTGCATTTAATTCCAAGTACATTTACATTACCTATTATACATTTTAGGCTCGGCCTATAAGGGCACCAGGGTTTAAAGTTTAAACTTTAAGCCTTTAAACTCTAACCTGCAAGACAAGCTAATTTTATGAAAATTTGCCTCAGAATGGATTCATAGGATGGTGATGATGATGACACTGGGGAAATATATAGAGACAGTGGTAGTTCTGGAATTTGGGTGTTAAATGACTTGAATTGATGTGACTGGAACTTGTATATTATATAAATTGAAAGTTACAAGACTGAAATGTGGATATTACATGACTAGATCTTGAATGTTACATGACTGGAACTGACAGATAGAAACTTGGATGTTGCATGATTGGAAGTGACAGGTGTGGAACTTGGATGTTACATATCTAGAAGTGACAAGTGTGGAACTTGGATGTTACATATCTGGAAATTTGGAAGTGACAAGTGTGGGAATGGGATGTTACATGATTGGAGGTGACAAGTGTGGAAATCGGATGTTACATGTCTGGAAGTGACAAGTGTGGGAATGGGATGTTACATGATTGGAGGTGACAAGTGTGGAAATCGGATGTTACATGTCTGGAAGTGACAGGTGTGGAACTTGGATGTTACATGTCTAGAAGTGACAGGTGTGGAAATTGGATATTACATATCTGGAAGTGACATTTATGGAACTTGGATGTTACATGTCTGGAAGTGACAGGTGTGGAAATTGGATGTTACATATCTGGAAGTGACAGGTATGGAACTTGGATGTTACAAGTCTAGAAGTGACAGGTATGGAACTTGGATATTACATATCTGGAAGTGACAGGTATGGAACTTGGATGTTACATGTCTAGAAGTGACAGGTATGGAACTTGGATGTTATATGTCTAGAAGTGACAGGTATGGAACTTGGATGTTACATGTCTAGAAGTGACAGGTATGGAACTTGGATGTTACATGTCTAGAAGTGACAGGTATGGAACTTGGATATTACATGTCTGGAAGTGACAGGTATGGAACTTGGATGTTACATGTCTAGAAGTGACAGGTATGGAACTTGGATATTACATATCTGGAAGTGACAGGTATGGAACTTGGATGTTACATGTCTAGAAGTGACAGGTATGGAACTTGGATGTTACATATCTGGAAGTGACAGATATGGAACTTGGATATTACATATCTGGAAGTGACAGGTATGGAACTTGGATGTTACATGTCTGGAAGTGACAGGTATGGAACTTGGATATTACATGTCTGGAAGTGACAGGTATGGAACTTGGATGTTACATATCTGGAAGTGACAGATATGGAACTTGGATGTTACATGTCTGGAAGTGACAGGTATGGAACTTGGATGTTACATGTCTGGAAGTGACAGGTATGGAACTTGGATATTACATATCTGGAAGTGACAGATATGGAACTTGGATGTTACATGCCTGGAAATTATGTCTGAAGTTTGAATGTTACACTTCTGGAAGTCACAAGTTTGAATGTTATGTGTTTTGACAGGCTATACTTTAAGATGCTTTGTGTTTAACTGCAGTTTTTACACAATTTTCTTTGCAGGATTCAGCTTTTTCACAACTCTGTATCCAAAACCAATTTTTCTGAGTGCTGGAGCAAGTTTCACTTTGCCAGTTACATTCAGGCCTCTGGAAGACGTTGAATACCATGACAAAATAATTTTTGTGTTGAAGGTAAGAACTTTTTTCAGAAATCAAGATGAACACATCCTCAAAGAAGCACATAAATAAGACAAGTAGCATGCCAGAATGGGGATGTCACTCTGATATTAGTGGCCAAGAAGAAAACCACTGCAGCATTTCTGGACTCTTTAAGGACCAGACGCCTTCCATCAAGTTCAGACTGACCACCACTAACATGGATGTTCATAGAGACACTCTAATATTGTTTCATTTGCTGGGAAAATGGAATTGTATGAACATGATTTGAAACACTACAATTAGCGAAATGACATCTTTTCGTTTTTGAAGTTTGCCGTGGACATTGAATTACTTTCTGATTTGTTTTTAATTAGTTCAGTGAAACACAATTTTTATATGATTTTTCTAGACCAAATTATAAGGGAAAAGGTCTAGAACTGTTGATACTGCTCTGTCGTTGATGAATCTCAGTCGGATAGTGACAATAGTCTTCATATTATGATTGATAATGCATCAAGTCAAACCTGTTTCAGATAATATAGGTTAGGAGCAAGTTAAACAAACATCTGTCAGTCAGATCATCCTTGTTTTGATCAGCTGTTTTCCTGATTTCAGTTGTGATATCTGGCATGTCAAACAAAAAGGGGTCATAACATCCAAAGTATTTAAATTAATTGTTTTAAACAAGGAATATTTGATACAAAATTGAACAGAGCAGACATTTTAATTCTGAGAAATAGATAGCAGTGTTGTCAAACAAGTAAAAAGTAAGACAAGCATATTTTTTGTGTAAATAATCTTTATATGTGTCTAACATCCTCGAAAGTTGTGCGATTCTTTGTTGTAATACTGATACTTAAATAGTTTACATTTATTCTGCACTCATTTTTCTTTAATTTGATATTATGTGTCCCTATACAGCCAATACTTTTTTTTAGGAAGGTTCACAGGCTTCAGCTTTGTCATGTTGCAGTAAACAAATTCAGCTCAAAATTAATGCTGACCAAACCCCAGAAAAAATGTTGACCTGAAAACGTTAATGGACTTTGGTTGGGATAAAAGCAGGATAACATAATAACAGGGCTAACAGAATAACATCCAGGTAAATCACAGAATATATAAACACTAGACCGATGTATTAGGCTTCATACAAGCGCACTAAATCATGGAACACGTAAATGATAGACTGAATGTATCGGAGCATATACAGATTAACAGTAAATAATAGAACAGATAGATATGTTGATGTATTCGATTACATATAAATGGCAGTAAATGACAAAACATACAAATGCTAGATAAATTGTTTAGACCACATAAATGACAGTCAGTGACAAAACATATAAAGGCTAGTTTGATGTTTCGGACCACATACAAATGACAGTATTTTACAGAGCATATAAATGCTAGATTGATGTATTAGAGTACATACAGATGCCTGTAAATCACATAAATATAAATGCTGTATTGATACATCAGATCAGCTACAAATGGTGGTTGTACTGCTATGTTTATTCTTGTACAGGATGGCTCAGAGTTTGAGATTACATTGGAAGCCTTGCTGCCCCAGATTGACATCTGCTTGCCTATAAATCTGGACTTCAAGTTGTGTGCTGTCCACGACACTATCTTCATCATGTTTGATGTCTTCAACACAGGGTATGCTGACATTCAATCTCTCTCTCTCACTCTCTGTTTCTCACTCTCTCTCTGTGCCTCTCTCACTCTCACACACACATGCATCCATTTGCACATGCGCTAACACTGCACATATTGCTTGGCTGCTAGTCTATGAGGGAATTTGCAACAACAGATAACACACAGAGCCCTTCTGTTCTGATCTGGCAGCTTCAGCAGCATGCTTTGGTCCAAATGTATTAGTGCTGCATTTCCTCTGGAGTTAACAAAGCAGGGCAAGAGATGGATAATGCATGGGCAACACACAGTTCTCTAAAATGTTGACGAGTCTTTGTGCTATGGAGAGGAAGAAAGCTAAATACATGGGATAACAACAGTGTTCCTGAAATCTCATGCTTTAATTGTAGAAGTCTTTTTTTCAATGTGAGCAGTGACACTCACATTGCCATGGGCTGTGATTACAATGGCTGCCTGTAGCACATTATAATACTATGCTCTGGAAAGATGGAAAGTTACCAACAATCGTAAAAGACTACATAAAGTTAAACGGAAAAAAGAATTAATGAACATACTTTATTTTGATGGGTCACATATTTAGCACACAGGCCCCTTTTACATTTGTCCTTGCCAAACACTCATCTTTCACACATCAGTTGTATTATATCTCTTTGAGTCCCATGGGGTTTAGCATCACAGGCCCAAAGGGTAGTCAAGAAAGACGTAAAATCGGCGCATCTTGCGTTCATTGGGCTTCTAGGTAGGAATCTATGAACGTATGATGTGTTCCTTGGGATTTGAAGAGTTAATCTACAAAGCATGTTGTGTTCATATAGTGAAATTACATGAGTATGAAGAATAATAAGAAGAGAAAGAGGAGGAGGAGAAGAAGAAGATGAAGAAAATCAATGCTTTAATCACCAATAAAATAATAGTGTTGAGTTTAGAGCGAACACTGTACTCAGGGTTATATCCATCAAGTGCTCATTCCTATATCACCAGCCAGCTGAGAGTTCCTTCTAGCACAAATGGTGTCAGTTGTAGTCTGACTATGTGTCCCTCTTGCCTTTTCTCTTTGAGTGTTAAACTTCAGTCAGATTCAGGAGTCACTCCTTATTTCATTATTCTTTCAAGACCATGTTGATCCATCCATGTTTCTGTCTTGCTCCCATGCTCCCAGCGGGCTTTTACCTGATCTGCATTGTCACAATCAGTCCCCACCCACTTATGCAGCACCAATTAATCTGAATGGCTGTTCATTTCCCAAAACACTGGCACTCCTTGGAGAAACGATATGTACAAAGTACACCACATGCAACTTCTGAAATATCATCACCACTCAGGAAGTCCTTTACAGAACATCGCTCTCGTCACAGCACACCTGAATGTATCTCTTTCCCTAGCCAGATCTCTGGCCCTTTGTGCTTTCAGTGCCAGTGCATCTTCAGTGTCCTGTATCCATCTTCACGGAGGTCGACTCCTGCCTTGCTTTCCACAAACTGCACTGTCTTTTCCAAGCTGCCATTATGTTTGATGTGGTCAAAATACGTCAACTTTTGGGACAGGATGCAGTTTATGAGCCAGTTATCCTCAATATTTAACTCATGTGGAGTGTCAGTGTTTTTCTTCTTCTTGATCCATGGTATTCTAAGAATTTTTCTGTAATATTTTAATTCAAAAGCAGCAATATTTTTTCTTCAGTGACTGAGTGAGAGTCCAGGACTCACAAACGTAAGTTGCCAAAAGAAAAATGCATGATCTCCAGTTTTTTACTTTAACTAATTTACAGGTGCTTTGCCATAGGTTCTTAATGTTGTTTCATCTCAGTTTCATCTCCATTTAATTTTTTTTAAATTGGAGACTACATGTATGCAACTTATTCTCCAACCAGCAGTCTCATTTCTCATCTTTAATTTTTTTTAATGAAAACATTAACAGTGACTTAGATACTCTGCTCAAGTGGGAAGTCAATGATCCATTTGAGATTGAACCAGTAGAAGCCGAACTCAAACACAGGAGCAGTTTAACTTTCAGAGCAACCTTCAAGCCAACGGTGTGTATCATTTATACTGCTTATGATTTAACAAATTATTCATTTAAAAAAAAAATTTCAGCCTGTTGTTCATCCCATCTCATCTCATTCCCATCTCACCTCACCTCATCTCCCATCCATCTCACCCTTCTTCATCCTATCTCATCCCTCCTCATCCTATCCCATCCCGTCTTATTTCATTTAACCTCATCTTAGAACTTTTATACCCTGCAATGTCAAGATGAAATATAAACAACAGGAGAATGTATGGGGGTTTACAAGAATTTCATAGACTTTAATGGTACAATAAGAATTATATATATATATATATTTGACCACTGGAAAGATAGAGGAAGACAGCATGAGAAGATTCTTGACAGCCTTTTGTCATGGCATGGAGGGATTGCAGATTGAAGAGAGACATAATCACCCACCCCAGTCAACAAGGCACTTGTTGCTGAAGAGGAGGAGGATGATGATGATATATATGTGTGTGTGTGTGTGTGTGTGCCCTTGCATGCATGCACGTGAGAGAGAGAGAGAGAGAGAGATACAGAGTGTTACAGGCAGAAAGGTCACAGCGGATAGAAAAAAAACCTTCTACATGAGACATTTAGCGACACCCAGGGGCACAGGCTAAAAAGGTGGCTTGTGATTGGCACAGACAGAAGTCAGGATGAGAAAAGTGTGTGCATTTGACAAGATAGTCATCAGTGCAAAAACTGCTCAGAGAAATTAACTTGCACGTGTGATATGGTTATATACAGAGATGGATCTGTAGTGAGAGACATGAGTGGATGGGGTTTCATTGCATAGGAGAATGGAAGTTGTTAAAAAAGATTTTAAAAAAAGAAGAAGAAAAGCTCAGATATAATTTCACAACATCTAGCATGAGAGTGAGTGAAAGCAGTAACGGTCACTCTCCAATGTCTGGAGATTAGAGCAGTGTGATATGTAATTGAAACAGACTTGCAGAGCGTACATTGGAAATCAATAACTAGTATCTTGCGCTTACAGGGCTTGTATCTCTGTGTAAGATATTTTGCTCAGGACCTTAGGACATGGGTGATAATGAGCAGGCTGATAGACTGGCTGCTGAAATCTCTGTGGGATTGAGCGACGTTGTGATAAAGCGGATGTATTGAGGGGCTCTGTCTGGGATCAGGGGATCAAGGTAACTGTGCAACAGAACAGACAGAACATCCATATCTGGAGAAAATGATTCAGCTGGCAGTGAACAAAGGATCTGGACAACTTTCTACCCGCAGGGTAGGCTACAGAGGGAGGGGACAGTGCGTGTATGGAAGTGTCCCGAGTACAGTGATGTCAGTTCTTTATTCATATATATAAATGAATCGCTCTCTGTCTCTGTCTCTCTCTCTCTCTCTCTCTCTCTCTCTCTCTCTCTCTCTCTCTCTCTCTCTCTATATATATATATATATATATATATATATATATATATATATATATATATATATATATATATATATATGTATATATAAATGTTTAGCTCACACACAAGCACCAACCTCCCCCCCCCCCATTTTTTTTCACACACAACCCCACCCCCCCCCCCCCCCCCCCCCACACACACACACACTTGAATGCACTTGGAAACATGTGTATATGTTACGTAAGGATGTTTGACAGAGAAGCCTGTCAGTTGCCATAGTAACAATATTGAAGGTTTTCTATGTCAAGGCTGCCAATGTCTATGAAGCCTTTGCCGTTTGTAGATTTGGCAAAGATCTACAGCTATTTGGACAGACCACCCTTTATGGTATTGGTGAGTGATTTTCCCTTGAATTATTAATGTGTGGTTAGAATATAGTTTAGTTAGATATTATATTTTGTATTTTGTTGTCTGACTTTTTTGTTGTTGTTGAAGCTAGCGTTCTTCTTGGATCTTATTCTGGAAGTTTGAACAACGGATCAACATCATAGCACACGGTTAGTAACCCATAAGTGCTCCGTTATACTTCTAACTCAAGTCTGAGTCCAAATAGCTCAGCGTGGTGCACAGGCTCTGTAGCACTGGTGATCCTGAAATAGTTTGGGTAGATTTTAAACTCCAAATTTTCCCCGGGTAGTGCCGTTAGGCTACTCTTTTCAATTTCCAACTGCCAAGGGATTTTTTACGTGCGCAACAATACACATCTGATCCCATACCCAGAGACCAGGGAAAATTACTAGAAGTCCATGTGAACAGAAAAAAATCCCAGCCTTCACCGGGGCCTGAACCCGGGACCTCTAGCACTTAATGCGGACACCATAACTCGAGACCGCGTAGTCCTCCTCTTATTCTGGACGAGACAAGTTAGTTGCATGTCTGGTCTGGTAGTCCTAGTTTCAGCTTCATAGCAAACGGGTCTTTGCTCGCTCGTGTGCCAACAAAAAACACACAGAGTGTTTATCACAGTCCCATGTGGAAAGATTGACAGACTGCTGTCTCAGCATATCTAGCATACACCCGCATTAAAGCATATGGTAGCCATTCAAAGTGCTAACACAAACAGTCCGACATTAGAAATGCAGTTCATCATTGATGGTAGCAGAAGTCACCAACAGATCTGCAGTTGCCCACGCCATTTTCTGAATCTACAATTCACACCACTACGTTGGTCACAGTCGAAAAAACATTCCAAATGAAATCCGCAGCTCACAGTGTCATGCCATGCATTCAACTCAGAAGCTGGGCGACAAAACTATATCCAGTCTACAAATGGAACAAAAATGCATCGGCATCCGTCCGGCAGAAGCAAAAAATTTGCCTCGGCTCTAAAAACAGTGTCCTCTTCAGGACTTCCTGACCCCTTCTCAGCATTTGTCGACTGTTGTGTGGTGTCAAGACAATTTTATCTTCAGTAACATGTTACTCTAATTGTGGAAGACTTTTCTTAATGCAAACGAATCTTGCTAGTCACACTGATCATCATCATCATCATCACTCAGCAGGTCTTTTACAGAATGTGACTGTCTTCATGGCAGGTCTGAAAGTCTCTCTTTCTCCAGCCAGTTCTCTAGCCCTACGTGCTTTCATAACCAGTGCAATTTTTACGTCTTGTATCTACATTTGCGGAGATCAGCCTCTGTCTCATTTTCTGGAAACTGCACGCTCCCTCACCGTTCTTTCCAAACCACCACGGCATTTAGCATGGCCAAAATACAGATTCATTTATAGATTTCAAATTAAGCACTTGTTTTTCAAGGTAACCACTAAAACATGGCTTAGCCCTTTGAGTACCTAACCCCTAGAAAATGTGTAAGAGGTCTGAGACCCCTCCCCCTTTTCCCCTCCAATCATTGTGTTGGTGCACCTGAGTATGTGACATGGCTGGCGAAGCACACTGTATTGTCTTCAAGGGGAAGATAGGAGACATTTTATCACCATTCTTTCACAGGAACAGCCAGTAAAGGTACCTTGAGGTTGTAGAAGTAGTCCATCGGAGGACAGGACGTGCATGGGAATACTGTGGATTGAAATAGCTTAACATAACTTAAGGTAACAGAATATAACATAATGTACAGCACATATAATCATATCTATATTTGTAATAATATCCACAAAAATCATATCCACAAACATAATCATATCCACACAAAACAATCGTGCCTAAATATATATCCATATCAGTACACATTTAAGATCCACACATATGATCATTTCCATACATGTAATCATACCCGCATGTAAAATTAGGCATATGTCATCATTTTTACCGCTGTAACAAGTATGTGTCACCTGCCAGGCAAGTACCCACACCTGCTGGTATCCTACCCTGTGGAGAGAATGGAGACAGAAAACCCCAGCAAGAATGTAGATGGAGAAACTGAGATCAACTTTGGGAATGTTGCGGTGGCTTTCACTTGCCAGCTGTTTATTGAGCTTCATAATGTATCACCGGTAGGTAACAAAGTCAGTATTAATATTGATGTCAGATTTAGTAAGGAAGTAGTAAGTAACTTTTACCTTACCAGGACATCACACAAGCGATAAACACCTGCTGACACAAAGTGCCACCATGTGGATGAGGATCACCTGTGGAGAGGTCCCTGAAACTGCATTCAGCCATTAGACCATATTTATGGCCAGATTTAGTGACAGTCAATGTCAATATCAGTGCCAGCACTAGTATCGGATTTAGGGACAGAATCAGTGAATACGTTAGTGACAGATTTATTGATTATGTTATTGTTCTTATCAGTGTCACTGTCAGCGCTGAAGTTAGGTTTGGTGACGGTCTGAGTATTCACACTAGTGCCAACACTGACGTCAGGTTTAGTGAAAGTCTTAGTATATATCTCAGTGTTACTGTTAGTGTCAGTATCTTCTTCTTCTACTCCTCCTCCTCCTTGTTCTTTTTCTTCCTGTTTGTTGCCACTACAGATAATGTTGTGTGGTCAGCAGTGTGAATGGCTTCAGTTTCTGGCAGAATTCAGAAACTCTGTTGCTAAGCATAACATGATGTTTACCAGAGTGGCAAGTCCCTAGAGTCAAGGCAGAGATTGTCACAGACCAAAATCATTTTTTTTTAAAAAACTTTTGTTTACAACTTCAAGCATGAAGGTGGAGGTGGAGGCAATAACGGCAGCTGTGAAATTGATAGTTGAAAGTAGAAAGTGGTGGGGTAAAAAGTAAGTCAGTCGGTCAGATGCCTATTCTTAATTTTTTAGTGCAGTAGAACAATGTTTGATCTTGAAATGTCATCATTAGACACTCAGTGAGACTGGTGACATCATCCTGCAGGAAACTGTAACTTAACTCTTTTGTCCCGTGAATGAGAAAATATGTGTCATGAACCTGTGGCAATTCCCCCCCCCCCCCAAAAAAAAAAATCATTAAAAAACACACATCATTTACACTTTTTGTACACAGGTCACTAAAAATAAAACTTTAAAAAAAATTATGTTTTAGATTGAAAAAAAAAATGTATATATATATATATATATATATATATATATATATATATATATATATATATATATATATATATATATATATATATATATATATATATATATATATATATATATATATATATATATATATATATATATATATATATATATATATATATATATATATATATATATATATATATATATATATATATATATATATGTACATATATCATATATACAAATATATACATATATACATATATATATATATATATATATATATATATATATACATACATACATACATACATACATATATATATATGAAAGTGAAGATCCCTTTTCACGCCTTTAAGCGCATCGGGAATATGGGAAGTGAACCCATACTTTTACAGACCATTCGGCACTAGGTGGGTAATGTGGTCAGCATTACGCAAGCCGTCTTTACTTCCCCGGGACATACATCCTGGTACCCATTTTAGGCTGGGTCGACCTGTGACGCCCTATACCACGAAAAAAATCCACGCAGCTAGCAGTGGATTTAGATCGTAGTATGTTGGAATTACGGGTCGGAGACGGAATCGAAACGCCTAAGCCATGTACGCCGCTATATATATATATATTTATATATGTGTGTGTGTGTATATATATAAATGTATATATATTTAAATTTATATTTATATATATGTAATTATGCGTAAAAGGCGTAATCAATAAACATGAACAGAGTGAAGCATTAAATGGAATACCTTCCATGGAGCCTAAAATAGAATATGCTATTTTTTTGTAAATATGTTCATATCTGAATCTCCCAACTACATTGCAGAAGTGTGAACAGAACCAGTGACATTAAACTACGCCTCTCTGAAACAGATCTATACAGGCATGCAGGTTTCAAAGCCTTTACATGAACGTGGCAACGATAGAAATGTCGTGTTTACAGCTTCTGAAGATGACAGGGTTAACATTTTGTCATTTATGAAACTGTATTCTTCTTCTTCTTCGATCCTTCTGTCAGAAATCTTATATTAGGAGGCCGGCAGCCTTTGTGAAAGCTATCGTGCAGTCCATATCCTCTCGTGTACCATACAGCTTTGTCTTCATTGTGGTTGGAACAGGCCAGATTGCATCTCTGTTGTCAGCATACAGTTGACAGTGTTAGAGCACATGCTTAGCATTTTCGGGTGCCTCGCTGCAGGGAAACGTCTCAGTGTTTCCTACACCGACAAATTTGAACATAGGTTGACGAAGTCTGTTGTGCCCTGTCCTTAGTCTGAATATAATACACTGTCTCTCTCTAGAGAGGCGATGAAGCGAGTCTTGGGGAGAAAAGCTGGTGTGTGTATCCAGCCACCTTTCTTGGCTTTATGATCACAAAATGGCTGACTAACCTTGAATTTCCACCATTAGGTACAAACTCCCTTCCATGTGACGAAAGTCCCAGGCATGAATCACTTGAATACAGTGTTTCGATGTCTTCAGACACGTGGCGTGGTGCCTCCAATGAGCCAGATGCAAATACCAGTAAGCTGCTGTTGTCAGATGATTCACAGTTGTTTTCCTTATGTTTATAGAATCATAGATGTCATTCTTGCTGTCTTACATCTGATGTCATTCTCTGTCTTACTTCTGATGTCAATGTTGCTGTCTTTTGCTGATGTCATTCTTGGTGTCCTTTGCTGATATCATTCTTGGTGCCTTACATCTGATGTCATTCTTGCTGTTAAAGAATAGCAAATTACATAGTCTGACCACTTGACAAGAATTTCCTGACCACTCTTGTATTGCTTAAAGACTTACAAAAAGAAGACTCATTTAGATGTGTGTGAGCTACTAAGGTTAATCACTTAGGTATGTAAGAGAGACTAACAGATAGATCACTTAGGTATGTGTGAGGGACAGATAGAACTTAGATAAGAGAGACCACTTAGGTATGTGTGAGGTAACAGATAGATCACTTAGGTATGTGTGAGAGACTTAGATAGATCACTTGTGTGAGAGACTAACAGATAGATCACTTAGGTATGTAAGAGAGACTAATAGATAGATCACTTAGGTATGTAAGAGAGACTAACAGATAGATCACTTAGGTATGTGTGAGAGACTAACAGATAGATCACTTAGGTATGTAAGAGAGACTAACAGATAGATCACTTAGGTATGTGTGAGGGACTAACAGATAGATCACTTAGGTATGTGTGAGGGACTAACAGATAGACCACTTAGGTATGTGTGAGAGACACTTAGGTTTGTGTGAGAGACTAACAGATAGATCACTTAGGTATGTGTGAGAGACTAACAGATAGATCACTTAGGTATGTGTGTGAGAGACTAACAGATAGATCACTTAGGTATGTGTGAGAGACTAACAGATAGATCACTTAGGTATGTGTGACTAACAGAGAGACTAACAGACTAACAGATAGATCACTTAGGTATGTGTGAGAGACTAGATAGATAGGTAGATCACTTAGGTATGTGTGAGAGACTAACAGATAGATCACTTAGGTATGTGTGAGAGAGACTAACAGATAGATCACTTAGGTATGTGTGAGAGACTAACAGATAGATCACTTAGGTATGTGTGAGAGACTAACAGATAGATCACTTAGGTATGTGTGAGAGACTAACAGATAGATCACTTAGGTATGTGTGAGAGACTAACAGATAGATCACTTAGGTATGTGAGAGACTAACAGATAGATCACTTAGATAGATCACTTAGGTATGTACTAACAGATAGTGTATCAGTGAGACTAACAGATAGATCACTTAGGTATGTGTGAGAGACTAACAGATAGATCACTTAGGTATGTGTGAGACACTAACAGATAGATCACTCAAGTTATGTATTAGAGACTAACAGATAGATCACTTAGGTATGTGTGAGACACTAACAGATAGATCACTTAGGTATGTGTGAGAGACTAACTTAGGTACTTAGGTATGTGTCAGAGACTTAACAGATAACAGATCGTCATCACTTAGGTATGTGTGAGAGACTAACAGATAGATCACTTAGGTATGTGTGAGAGACTAACAGATAGATCACTTAGGTATGTGTGAGAGACTAACAGATAGATCACTTAGGTATGTGTGAGAGACTAACAGATAGATCACTTAGGTATGTGTGAGAGAGACTAACAGATAGATCACACTAACAGATAGATCACTTAGGTATGTGTGAGAGAGACTAGATCACTTAGATAGAGACCAACAGATAGATCACTCAAGTATGTATTAGAGACTAACAGATATGTCACTCAAGTATGTGTGAGAGACTAACAGATAGATCACTCAAGTATGTATTAGAGACTAACAGGTAGATCACTCAAGTATGTATGAGAGACTAACAGAAGAATCACTCCAGTATGTGTGAGACAGTAACACATGTATCACTCAAGTATGTGTGAGAGACTAACAAATATGTCACTCACGTGTGTGTGAGAGACTAACAGATAGATCACTCAAGTGTTTGTGAGACACTAACATATAGATAACTCAGGTATGTGAGAAAAACTGACAGATGGATCACTCAAGTATACATGAGAGACAAACAGATAGAACACTTAAGTATGTATGAGACACCAACAGATAGGTAACTTGTGTACATATGTGAGAGACTAACAGATAGATCACTCAAGTATATGTGAGGGACTGAAAGATAGATCACTCAAATATACGTGAGAAACTAACAGATTGTATGAGAAATTACCATATAGATCAGGCATGTATATGAGATTAACAATTGACTATATGTTATGCCAACTATTCAGATTGTCTACAGTCCCCAGACTGTGGGTGTCACAAGCATCAATTACTTCACCATTACCTCTGTAGGTAACTTCAGCCACAGCAGGATCAAGTGTGTGGGTACAGCCAAAGGTTAGTGCCTTGTCTGTGTACTGCTGTAAGTCGGTGATTTTCACACAACAAACTGAACATGAGAAAAGTGTGTGCTTGCTAGGTTCCAGGCCTGCTAACAGCTGACAAGAAGGAAATGAGGGTAGCCTGCTGTCGACAGCTACTTAAAAAGAGTCTGTCAGAAAACATGTTGTCGACTGGTGACAGTAGATGAAACTTTGGTTCAACATTATGACCCTCAATCCAAAATTGCCAGCATGCACCAGAAAACTCCATGTTCCCCAACACATGTCAGACAAAGAGCTCAGAAATCTGCAGGGAATGTGATGCAGATACTTTTTAGGGATGCCATATGTGTTCTTTTAAAAGTATACCTGCCTCGAGGCCAGTCTGTTAATGGACAGTAATATTCAGGTCTGCTTAGAAAAACTGAAAAAGACTGTGAAAGGAACTTGAGGGATCACCTGCGCTCAAAATCGCCCTTTGCTTCAGGACAACAACCCTTCTCACAAAGTACGGATAACTACAGTTTGAAAACCAAAGTTTTTTTCTCATTCACCGTATTCATCAGATATGGCACCCTCAGACTTTTGTTTTTGAGTCTCAAACCTTTAAAAAAAGATAAAAGGAATTAAGTTTGTGTGACTAACCTGTGACAACTGGTTTGTCTAGAAAAAAATTAGGGTGTTTTTTTTCCCAAAGTCTTTTCAAGGTCAAGCAGAGATATCAGAATTTTTTTTTAAATTTTGGAGGGGACTATACTGAAAAGGAATAAACACTGTATCAAATTAAGGCTTTCTATTACATTTTTTTCGTAGTCAGGATAAGGATATATGGATCACCCCTCGTAGATATAACAGTGGGTAATCCTGATTTTGTAAAATGTGTACATAACAAAGACTGAATATTCCCAATAAATCTTGTGAATATATCCTACAAATCATGTGAGTATTCCTGCAAACCATGTGAATGTTTCCTACAAACAATGTGAACATTACCAGCAAATCATGTGAATATTCCCTACAAATTATGTAGTATTCCCTACAAATCATGTGAATGTTCCCTACAGTTCATGTGAATATTCCCTACAAGTCATGTAGTATTCCCTACAAACGATGTGAACATTGCCAGCTAATCATGTGAATATTCCCTACAAGTCATGTAGTATTCCCTACAAATCATGTGAATATTCCCTACAAGTCATGTAGTATTCCCTACAAACCATGTGAACATTGCCAGCTAATCATGTGAATATTCCCTACAAATCATGTAGTATTCCCTACAAATCATGTGAATGTTCCCTACAGTTCATGTGAATATTTCCTACAAATCATGTGAATGTTCCCTACAGTTCATGTGAATATTCCCTACAAGTCATGTAGTATTCCCTACAAATCATGCAAGTTTTCCCTATCAATCATAACATTTGGTTAACTGTAACTAGCTAGTTTGTGTTAGTCGACATATGATTAGTTTAAAGTAAGTAAAGGGTCATTTTTGTCCTAGTAGTGCTCTGGGCATATAATGAGAGACTAACATTTTTTAGATCCCTGGGCACTCAAATGATAGGGTCAACATTATGCTGGCTGCTAGAACATTACCTGGTACCTCTTTTAGGTGAGGATGACCTGGCAACAAAGGTGGATTTGAAAACTATTTTCCCCATGTGGACTCTGGGGTCCCATTGTGAGGAAAACAAGAATAGATCCACTGGTTCCCCAACGAGCATGTCGTAGGAGTTAACCAAATGGGAGCTACCTTTGAAGTCAGAGTGCATCTTTCTGAGAGGCAAGGAACAATCAACTGCACACATATAAGCCAGTAAAATGGATGTACACGCAAAACTCAGACCCTGGCACAAAGCCAAAGTCCAGATGGACGAACAGCTAGGATTTTCTGCTAGAGCTTACAGCTAGTGAGTAAATAAAGAAGAAGAAAGGAAGAAGAAGAGGAAAGAATTTGACTCTAAACCAGTTTGAAAGATTTGAATTAAAAAAAAATGGTGGTTACTCACCAAGAGTCATTTTGTGGTTATCTTCAACTATCTTATTGTTGTCCTTGTTCACAGGTCCATGTGTGAAGTTGAGCACATACTGTATCACATTCAAGGAGACGGATCTGGGTGTTTTTGCTGTGGCCTTGTTTGAGATTATCAACAGTTCTGACATAGAAGCTGTGTATCAGGTGAGAGATCAAGAGGTTAAGAAGATGCAATGTTTACAGGTGTATGGATGATGTTTTCATTGAGAGGGCAGAGATGGTTTTCTTTTAGGAGGGTACAAATCATGTATTTCCACATAAGAGAATTAGTAGGCAATATCTGTTGAAATGTACAGACAATTTGAGGTGAAAGACTGGAAGATGATACCTGTGGATACAGCACATGTGATTCCAGGTTGAAGAATGAAAGATGAAATCTAGTGAAAGGGTACATGTTATTTAAGTTAAGATCCCCCTGTGGGTTTAAGCCCCCCCCCCCCCCCCCCCCAACAAGTCATACAATGCAACTAATTGGGGATGTTTATTTCTATGTCAGAGCACATCTGCCTGAGAGGAAAGGAACCAACAGTCTGCATACAAATAAGCCAGATCTGTGAAATGGGTGTGCATGCAAATCTCAACATTGTGGAGCAGGACCAAAGCCAGAAGTGGACAAACTTTCTGCCAGAGTTTTCAAGTGTTTAACGCTAAGAAAAAGTAGAAGATTTCATTTGAGAGAATTAGCAGATATCTGTTAAGAGGGTAAAAGTAATTTTAGGTGAGAGAATTAGCAGATATCTGTTAAGAGGGTAAAATTAATTTCAGGTTAGAGAATTAGCAGATATCTTTTAAGAGGGTAAAAGTAATTTCTGGTGAGAGAATTAGCAGATATCTGTTCAGAGAGTATAAGTAATTTCAGGTGAGAGAATTAGCACATATCTGTTCAGTGAGTACAAGTAATTTCAGGTGAGAGAATTAGCAGATATCTGTTAAGAGGGTAAAAGTAATTTTAGGTGAGAGAATTAGCAGATATCTGTTAAGAGGGTAAAAGTAATTTTAGGTGAGAGAATTAGCAGATATCTGTTAAGAGGTAAAATAATGTTAAGAGGGTAAAAGTAATTTTAGGTGAGAGAATTAGCAGATATCTGTTAAGAGGGTAAAAGTAATTTTAGGTGAGAGAATTAGCAGATATCTGTTAAGAGGGTAAAAGTAATTTTAGGTGAGAGAATTAGCAGATATCTGTTAAGAGGGTAAATTAATTTCAGGTTAGAGAATTAGCAGATATCTTTTAAGAGGGAGTAAAGTAATTTTCTGGTGAGAGAATTAGCAGATATCTGTTCAGAGAGTACAAGTAATTTCAGGTGAGAGAATTAGCAGATATCTGTTCAGTGAGTACAAGTAATTTCAGGTGAGAGAATTAGCAGATATCTTTTAAGAGGGTAAAAGTAATTTTAGGTGAGAGAATTAGCAGATATCTGTTAAGAGGGTAAAATTAATTTCAGGTTAGAGAATTAGCAGATATCTTTTAAGAGGGTAAAAGTAATTTCTGGTGAGAGAATTAGCAGATATCTGTTCAGAGAGTATAAGTAATTTCAGGTGAGAGAATTAGCACATATCTGTTCAGTGAGTACAAGTAATTTCAGGTGAGAGAATTAGCAGATATCTGTTCAGAGAGTACAAGTAATTTCTGGTGAGAGAATTAGCAGATATCTGTTCAGAGAGTACAAGTAATTTCAGGTGAGAGAATTAGCAGATATCTGTTCAGAGAGTACAAGTAATTTCTGGTGAGAGAATTAGCAGATATCTGTTCAGAGAGTACAAGTAATTTCAGGTGAGAGAATTAGCAGATATCTGTTTAGAGAGTACAAGTAATTTCAGGTGAGAGAATTAACAGATATCTGTTCAGAGAGTACAAGTAATTTCTGGTGAGAGAATTAGCAGATATCTGTTCAGAGAGTACAAGTAATTTCAGGTGAGAGAATTAGCAGATATCTGTTCACAGAGTACAAGTAATTTCAGGTGAGAGAATTAACAGATATCTGTTTAGAGGGTACATGTGATAACAGGCGCGAAGAGGATAGATGTTATAAGTAAATTCTTTCCCTTGAAGGGTGGAGGAATTAGCACGCTGTTCCCTAGCAGAGATGATGTAAAAGGTAACTAATTAGAGGTTTGTCTTAAACTGGATCCAGGTAATGCCCTGAGAAGTAAAGGAGGCCAGAGTTTAGCATGATATATACAATGCAACACTAACATGTAAGGGTCTTTGCCTTTTTACTTTTTGCTCAAGCCGTGAAGATCTTGTGTTAATTTTACATGCTGTGTTGTGTGATTCATGCATGAAATCTTTTTTGATGATCCATGCGGATTATCGCTGCAGCTACGGTGTTCATACTTTGTGCAGTGCTGTCAGCAGATGGTAGGTCATTCTTCGGAGAGGGCCCGGGCCATTTGGAATAATACCTATTTCATTGAAGCTGATCCTCTTTTTCTTCTTCTTCTTCTCCATGTTTACCAGGCTGTAAACCCTGGCAAAAAGTTCTGGTTTTCATCCTCATCTGGACTTCACTCTGGTTCAAGAACCTATTTCACATGCACATGCTTTTTAAAGATCTGGCTTATTTTTATACAGTTGGTTGATTTGTCAATTCTCTGGCAGATCCACTTGACTTTGAAGGAACATTCCTAATTAGTATGCTTGTTGGGAAAAGGGGGGGGGGGGCAGTGGGTCCATTTTTTTCTTGTTTCCTAAGTGGGACCCTGAAATCCACATATTAAATGTGTAGACTTTAAACTTTTAAATAAGCTTGTCGTGTTCTCTGGCCAGTTTGAAGTGGACTGTGAGGAGTCAGTGTTCCAGTTCTCAGTGGTCAGTGGCTTGATAAAACCAAATTCTCAAGAAACTGTTCAGCTGCGGTTTGTGCCACAGTATTCCATTGTCTATTACAGACGAGTTGCCTTTTTGGTTCATAACCAGGTGAGTGATTTATTGAGACCATATGAGTTTGTTTTATCTTTGTCTGTCGACTGTGAGTGTTTCTTTAACCTTCTGTCAGTCCTTATTCCTGCCTACCTACCTGCCTGTCTGTCTGTATGCCTGCCTGCATGTCTGTCTATCTGCCTGCCTGCTTGTCTGTCTGTCCATATGTCTGTCTGTCTGTCTGTCTCTGTCTGTCTGTCTGTCTGTCTGTGTCTGTCTGTCTGTCTGCCTGTCCTGCCTGTCTGTCTGTCTGTCTGTCTGTCTGTCTGTCTGTCTGTCTGTCTGTCTGTCTGTCTGTGCATCCATCTGTCTGTTTATTTCTCTGTCTGTCTTTGACTTGTCTCAGTTTGTCACCTATTTGTCTGTTCATCTGAATATATGTGGATGCGCAGATAGATCATTACGGTCTGATGAGAATGGCACTGCGAGGAGTTACCGGAGGATGTTGCGGGTGCTCAATACTCAGGGGAAGAATGAGACGGATATACAATCAGACGGCTACTGGTGCCATCAGAATCAGAACTCTTTGCTTTCTGCTGAAGATGGGGACGGAGCACTTATGGGAGTGTCCTGAGTGCTGTGATGTCGATCCCTAATTCAACATTCAACATTCTGGATATCTCTGCCTACCTGTCTGTCTGTCTGTATCATTCTATCTTTTTCTTTCTGCAGAAGGGTTAAGCTTCAAATGTCCTAACTGCCATTGTCAGGAGAAGATACTTTACCTACTTGTACATTTTAACTTGATAGTTGTCATTGGCTATCCATTTTGTGAGAAGATATGTTGGGGTTCCCCATTGTCAGCTTTTACGAAAGTCAGTTATATATCCTTTCAAAGAAGAACAGATCCACTACTCCCTATCAAGGATGTCATAGAGCATGACTGATTAGAAATTTTTCCTTTGAAGCTAGAGTGTAACTACCATATAGGAAAGGAACCAACAGTCTGCATACAAATAACAAATAAGCAAGTTCTGTAAAATGGATGTGCACCCACAACTCAAGTTCTGGAAAAAGACCAAAGTTCCGAAGTGGATGAACAGTCAGAACTTTCTGCCAGAGTTCATAGCTGATGAATGCAAAAAAGAAAAAGAAGAGCTGACTGTATATGATTTCATTAGGCAATTTTATGTTCAGCAGTTTGTCACTGCTTTCTAAATAGTCAACTCTTATTCCATGGTCAAAATCGACAAAAAGCAGTCCGTTGCCAAGTCGCATGCAGTTGAATCAAATCTGCTTTGTTAGAATCATGAAACTATGTTCATAACCCTTAACCTGCAGGTGCCGGTCAGAACATTACTTAATTTTTTTTGGTCTTTCACCTCACCCCTCTGTAATTGATAGCCTCCACTGTTCCTTGACATACTGGCAACATGTCACTCGGAGACAGCCAAGCCTCCTGTACTCAGGAAACAGCACCTGGTCCGCTACCAAACACACGTGGAGAGAGGACTCTCAGTGATTCCTCCAGAGGTTAGTTTGTTGTTGCTTCTCTCTGCCTTTCCAGATGATAGTGTTATTTTGTAATAGAGAGATGCATTGGAATGGCAGCCAGTGAACGCCAGGAGTTAAATCCTTCTCTCCATTGAACAAAGCCTGGACAGTACTGTAGATATGCCAGGCAAAACACCACACAGTAAATGCTAAAATCTGTTTTTTTTTTTTTGTTTAAACTTACAGCAAGAAGCATTGCTTTGAATTCACTATTTTTTAATGATGTTTCAGCAGTAGTTTTTCAATATTTGTTGATGTTTCAGTAGTATTGATCAAATTATTTACTGATGATGTGTCAGCAGTATTAATTCAGGATTTGTTGATGATGTTTCAGCAGTATTATTTAAATTATTGCTTGATGATATTTCAGCAGTATTAAGTCAATTATTTGTTGATGATGTCTGAGCAGTATTAAGTCAATTATTTGTTGATGATGTTTCAGCAGTATCAATTCAGTATTTGTTGATGATGTTTCAGCAATATTACTGTATTTCCCCAAATATAAGACACACTTATTTTTCAGAAATATGGGGTCTAAAAAAACAGTGTGAGTCCTATACAGTGGTAGTAGTTTTACCAAGTGGTTTGTTAGAAAATATCCTGTTCAGGGCCTCATTTAGAAATATTGGTTCAGTGGCAGCAGAAAATGAAAAACCTGTATACAGTTAAAAATTATTTACCACTGTAATAGCCCCCCCCCCCCCCCCAACCAATGCAACGCTGTGATAGTTCCCCCCCCCCCCCCCAACCAATGCAACGCTGTGATAGTCCCCCCCCCCCCCCCCCCAACCAATGTAACACTGTACTAGTCCCCTCCCCTCCCCCCAACCAATGCAACACTGTCCCCCCCCCCCCCCCCCCCCCCCCCCCCCCCCCCCCCCAACCAGTGCAACCAGCGGATGAAAACTTCTCGGGACAATTTGACATCAGCAGGAGTGTGAAGAAACCAACTATGAAAGAAGTTCATATCTGAATGAAAAGAACCTGGGATATTGTGAAGAATGAGATCATTGTCAAGTCATTCGAGAAGTGTTACATTTCAGATGCCACAGATGGATCTGAGGATGAGGCAGTGTATGAAGACAGTGACTCATCATCAGACACACATGAGGACAAGCTAAATATCTATCATATGGATGAGAGTTGGGACAGTGATGAGGACAAGCTAAATATCTATTATTTGGATGAGAGTTGGGACAGTGATGAGGACAAGCTAAATATCTATTATATGGATGAGAGTTTTGACAGTGATGAGAACAGTGGATGAGAGTTTTGACAGTGATGAGAACAAGCTAAATATCTATTATATGGATGAGAGTTTTGACAGTGATGAGGACAAGCTAAATATCTATTATATGGATGAGAGTTGGGACAGTGATGAGGACAAGCTATGGAAAATGAGAACAAGCTAAATATCTATTATATGGATGAGAGTTTGACAGTGATGAGGACAAGCTAAAATCTCTATATGGATATGCTAAATATCTATTATATGGATGAGAGTTGGGACAGTGATGAGGACAAGCTAAATATCTATTATATGGATGAGAGTTTTTTGGGACAGTGATGAGGACAAGCTAAATATCTATTATATGGATGAGAGTTGGGACAGTGATGAGGACAAGCTAAATATCTATTATATGGATGAGAGTTGGGACAGTGATGAGGACAAGCTAAATATCTATTATATGGATGAGAGTTGGGACAGTGATGAGAGTTGGGACACAAGCCAAGCTAAATATCTATTATATGGATGAGAGTTGGGACAGTGATGAGAACAAGCTAAATATCTATTATATGGATGAGAGTTGGGACAGTGATGAGAACAAGCTAAATATCTATTATATGGATGAGAGTTTTGACAGTGATGAGAACAAGCTAAATATCTATTATATGGATGAGATTGAGGACAGTGATGAGGACAAGCTAAATATCTATTATATGATGACAGTGATGAGGACAAGCTAAATATCTATTATATGGATGAGAGTTGGGACAGTGATGAGGACAAGCTAAATATCTATTATATGGATGAGAGTTGGGACAGTGATGAGGACAAGCTAAATATCTATTATATGGATGAGAGTTGGGACAGTGATGAGGACAAGCTAAATATCTATTATATGGATGAGATGGATGAGAGTTTGGGACAGTGATGAGGACAAGCTAAATATCTATATATTATATGGATGAGAGTTGGGACAGTGAGAGTGATGAGGACAAGCTAAATATCTATTATATGGATGAGAGTTTTGACAGTGATGAGGACAAGCTAAATATCTATTATATGGATGAGAGTTGGGACAGTGATGAGGACAAGCTAAATATCTATTATATGGATGAGAGTTGGGACAGTGATGAGGACAAGCTAAATATCTATGGATAGTTGGGACAGTGATGAGCTAAATATCTATTATATGGATGAGAGTTTGGGACAGTGATGAGGACAAGCTAAATATCTATTATATGGATGAGAGTTGGGACAGTGATGAGGACAAGCTAAATATCTATTATATGGATGAGAGTTTTGACAGTGATGAGAACAAGCTAAATATCTATTATATGGATGAGAGTTGGGACAGTGATGAGGACAAGCTAAATATCTATTATATGGATGAGAGTTGGGACAGTGATGAGGACAAGCTAAATATCTATTATATGGATGAGAGTTGGGACAGTGATGAGGACAAGCTAAATATCTATTATATGGATGAGAGTTTTGATAGAGATGAGGAGTTTTCTGGATTCTGTGATAAATAAAATGTGAGTTAAATAACTTTATTTAATCATATCCACTCCCCCCCCCCACCCCCCGGACTCCCTCAGAATTTGCGGTCCCAAAATAAAGGCACATATTATACATGTGATCGTCTAGTACTTGGTGAAATACTGTAAATCCCTTTTTTTGTTTGATATTTCTGCAAAATTAATTTATTGTCCATTAAAAATGTTTCAGCAACTGAATGAACTGCTGCAATCTGGACGGCTACAAGTGGATGAGAAGGGATGTCTAGATGTCATCCTTGCTGAAGACAAGGTCACCACAGTTATGAATTTTTGCAACTTGTTGAGAAAATGAGTTACACTTTCTGTATATTGTCAGTCATTGTTTCTGTATATCATCATCATTAAGTGCCTTCTGACTGGCACTGACGATTATGCCTATCCATAACTTACAATTTCAAACAGCCTGAATCCGTTCATCTGCTGACACCCTTCCTAGCCACAACAAAAGGCTGTCAAGAACCTTCATATGTTGGCTCCTCTAGCTCTCTTTACATAAATCTTTCCAGTCGTCACATGGTCCAGTTTTTCTCTTTCTGATAACCTGGCAAAGAAAATGATAACTGCCTCTTTCTGATGACCATGGTGAGTTTGTCTTTGTTTCTTTGCCACTGTCACAACATCTAGATTACTAATTTTGACTTTCTAAGTGTACTAGAAGCAAAAGCTGAGGAGGGGGTTAACTTGTGATGAAGGGAGAAGAGAAGAGATAACTAAAGGATAATATGGAAATCTACTCCTTGAAATCTCGACTCCGAACCTACAAGAGCTCTCAACAATGTCGCGTGGCGAGCCAGACCCAACCATAAGCTGCCTCAGTAGCAAGAAAAAAAAAAGAGAAAAAGTTCGTTTAGGCGGGGGTAAAATCAAAGTATCTCACCCTGGCAGGAAATCTTCTGTGTGGGGTCTAATATAGTTTAACAGTAAAACCTAGACATACTAACTAAAATAACAAGAATGTAAGTCGACGAATACAGAAACTTTATTTGCTGATGACATAACAATAATTCTTGACAACACACCAAAAACTAAATATGCTAAAGAACTACTAACTGAACGTATATGAGCAGACCAGTAGAACTAACCAAGCAACTAGTAAATCAATGAATAACAAAATACTGACAACAACTAGCAGACCAACAACCAGGTAGTACCATTATGCAGGCTGAACCTAATTCGCGCTTTAACCCTTTGCGGTTTGGGCGACAAATTGGAAGGGCTTCTAGCCTTGGACCGCTACCGCTGGAAAGGGAAACTGTTAACAGAATCAGGCCTTTTATTACCTTTCACGACTCACGTGACCTGCTGGACACCACTGAAGAGTTCCACAAAACCACCTTGCCAGTGCCAGCAGCCATAGGTTGTTAAACCAAAATAATAAACAGGCCAAAAATCTACCTTCTGTCGCCAGCCTGTTACACAAGAAATCTGAAGCACTCTTCTGTGAAACAAGATCTTTAAGGTCCCGAGAAATGTTTTCACTTATTTACTAATTGTTCATAATTAAAGCTGGCTCTTTGTATATTGTCAGTCATTGTTAATTGTTTCTGTATATTGTCATTGTTTCTGTATATTGCAGTTGTTTCTGTATATTGTCATTGTTTCTGTATATTATCATTGTTTCTCTATATTATCATTTTTTTTCTGTCTGTTGCGGTTGTTTCTGTATATTGTAATTGTTTCTGTATATTATCATTGTTTCCCTATATTGTCATTGTTTCTGTATATTGCCTTTGTTTCTGTGAATTGTCATTGTTCCTGTATATTTTTATTATTTTTGTATATTGTCAGTAATTATATTTATGTACTGTCATAGTTTCTGTAAATTATGAATCATTATTTGTGTATACTGTCACTGTTTCTGTATATTGTCAGTAACTGCCTGAGTGTACTGTCAGTTATTGTTTCTGTTTATTGCCATTCATTGTTTCTGTATAGTGTCAGTTATTGTTTCTGTGTATTGTCATTGTTTCTATGTATATTGTCATTATGTAGGCGTGGTCAGCCTTTTATGTTCAGTACATCTCAAGTTTGTTGTCATCATTTCTTACAGGCCAACCTCCGAAGTAACCCAAATCCTCGAGATATCCTGCCAATCAATGAATATTTGAATGATGGCTTTCACTGTGATCTCATTGTGAGTTCCATTAGTTGTGTGACCTCTATATATTTATGCATGAATCAATGAGGAATTGACATAATTTTTTTCAGGAAATTCCCACACTTGCGGTTCCCTTTCTAAGTAGACAGTAAAGTGTTCCCGTACTGATGGTGTTTTGTAATATGTTTCCACTTTCTTCCTTCTTCCTGTCTCTTTATTACTTTACTTTACTTTTTCCTTCCACGTATGCCGCTAAGCGTTGTGGGGAGATGCAAGTTCCTGTCATAAGCAAGGCGGGCAGCATCTGATGTTCTGAGGCCATGCTTTTGGCAGGTTTCGGAGACCCCGTCAGTCCACCGTTTCCTTGGTCTTCCTCTTGCCTTATATCCTGAGCTTCTTTGGTTGAAAATTTGTGATGGTATTTGGTCATTTTTCATCCTGGTTAGATGTCCAAACCATTTCATTCTTTGATGTTCTATGTAGTCTAAACATGGTGTAGTTTTGACAGTGTTTCTAATGTCTATGTTCTTTATCCTGTCTAGTCTGGTCTTATTCGCTACTTTTCTTAGACATTTCATTTCACAGGCTTCTATTTTTCTTTCATGGGTCTTGTTGATTGTCCATGTCTGGCACTGGTAGCAGAGTGTTGGAATTAAGATGGTGTTTATCAATTGTCTTTTGGTCTTCATGGTTATATCTGGATGTTTAAGCAGAGGTGATAGTTGGTATGTGACAGCATTTGCTTTCTGTATTCTTGTTTCTATCTCTCTGTCCATTCTTCCATCCTCTGTAAATATACTGCCCAAGTATTTGAAACTCTTTGGTTTGCTTGATTTTGGCACTTCCAACATTTATATTCAGTGGCCTGTGTGTTCTGCTGATCTTCATAACTTCTGTTTTTTTCTGTACTGATTCTCATATTATGTTGTAAACAGCTGTTGTTGAGAGTAGTCAGATGTTCCTGTAGATCATATTCATTTTGATACAGTATGCTTTGATCATCAGCAAAAAGTAATTCGTTTATAGCATACACGTCTGGGTTTGCTTCTACAGTGATCTTATCCATGTATGTTATGAAAAGTAATGGTGACAGTACACATCCTTGTCTGACACCAGTTGTGACTTTGAACCATTCAGAAAGACCACTAGATGTTCTTACTGCACTTTCACTTTTTTCATAGAGGGCTCTGATGTTGTCTAATAATTGACCCTGCACTCCGTAATCGTCAAGAATTCTATACAGCACATCTCTGTCCACACGGTCGAATGCCTTCTCTTGATCTACAAAGACCCTCTTTATTGTCTCTTTATTGGCCAGAGAAAATTGTATCAAGTTCAATACATGCTCTCATTTACTCGAGTGTTAATTTTTCTTTGTGTTTTAATTTTAATTTATGGTTTGTGACCTCCCTGTGATTACCATTAGTTGTGTGACCTTTCCGCCACTGATTGCATCACCTCACCATCATCCCCCTTGTGGGATGCAATTTTTAATTATTTTGAAGCCCAGCCCTGGCTGTTGACAAGTTCCGCAATATAACCTAATGTTTGAACACAGTTTCCGGGGCCTCTCCAAGGGTGATTCTCATCTGCATGGTGGCATTTTGGGTCACCGGATGTTTATCAATTGTGTGATGTCCTGGTGGGGTAATTTACTAACAACTATCACCTCACCATGAATGCTGCTAATTAAGATCCCAGTGTTATCACTGTGAGAATGTTAAGATTCCTGTATGATCACTCTGAAAATGTTAAGATTCCAGTATACTGAATCTGACTAATACAGCTTAGAACCCAGTAAGTTCTAGCCTAAATACAGTCAAGTCCCATTGTATGATCACTCTGAAAATGGTAAGATTCCAGTATGCTGAATCTAACACAGCTTAGAACCCAGTAAGTTCTAGCCTAAATACAGTCATGTCCCATTGTATGATCACTCTGAGAATGGTAAGATTCCAGTATGCTGAATTTAACACAGCTTAGAACCCAGTAAGTTCTAGCCTAAATACAGTCATGTCCCATTGTATGATCACTCTGAGAATGGTAAGATTCCAGTATGCTGAATCTAACACAGCTTAGAACCCAGTAAGTTCTAGCCTAAATACAGTCATGTCCCATTGTTCAAGACTACTTATCATCATGTAGCAGGGGGTCCTTTATAAAACATTGCTCTTGTCTTGGTCTGCCTGAAAGAAACTTGGTCTCTTATCAACTGTCCCATCTCTTTCCTGCTCAAGATGTCATTTCCTCTGCCCATCTTTGTGCTGGTCAGCCCCTGCCTCTATTTCCTGATACCATGCCTTCTGCTATTATTTTGTCCAGAATGTCTTAGTACTTGATATAGCCAAAATATATCAGTTTCAGAGACAAGATGCTATCTAACAGCCGTTCTTTCTTGATGATCAGATCTTTTAGGATCTCTGTATTTCTTTTCTTTTTTGTTCATGGTATGTTGAATATGTTTTGGGCACAGGATATAAGTGACTCCTTGAGTATTAAAGTGCATGAGGTGGGAGAGCTGGCGAGAGACTAAGTTTCTTTCAGGCAGACCATGATGAGAGAGATGTTCTGCAAAGGACCTGCTACATGATAATGATGATGTTGAATTTTGAATTAAGAATCAACATCAAAGCACTCGAGACACAGCAAGCGAAGAGTTAAAATTCCGATGGTACTAGTAACTGTTTGTTCATGGTAGTAAATGCACACACACACACACACACACACACACACACACACACACACACACACACACACACACACACACACATTCTCTCTCTCTTTGATAAGGTAAATAAAGGAAGAGAAGAAGAGGAAGATTCTGTTATTTGTCACTGAAAACAAAAACTAAATGAGTGAAGGAATGAGGAGATCCAAGATAAACTGAACTATCTATGAATGTTGATGAGAGAGACCACAGTGCCAGACTGGATTCTATCCATCATGTCAGAAATATTGTGTCAGTTAGAAGTGAATGGAGTAATCAACTACAAACTCTGTGTAACCTATAAATTGCATAACAAGGTGATGATGATGAATTTGTCATATTTGCATGTTCATGTTCTCATTTTTATATTCTCTCATCTCTGTGGATCCAATTTTAGAATATCCTTCCACATGCCAGCTTGGATGTCAACATCCTTGATTTTGGAAATGTACAGAATTTGAGTTTTCCAGTGGAAAGAGTGAGTTTACAATTGTATTACAAAGATTTTTTATTTTATAGCTTTCTTCTTCTTCTTCTTGTTAAAAACCGTACCATTTTGTGTTGGTGATTTGTTGGCTCATAGCCATCTATCTTGTATAATATCAGTAATTTCCGAAACAATTATTTTTCCATGCCATACTGTGAAACCATCCATCTTCTCCCTTGGTTTTGCTTAGCCTTTCTTTCCCTCTACCATTCCTATATTCACTGTGTACTCCAATTTTCTATTCTCATTGTGCTCAAAGAATGTAGATTATTTTTTTCTGATACTGTTAATTAATTCTCTTTGGGAGGTAATTTCTTTCAAGACATCTTCACTGGCTCTGTATCCAGAGATATTTCTTATTTTGTGTGTAGTTCATCAGATTTCATTTTCATAAGATGTTGAAAACATTTATTTATTGTTTCTCATTGAAATAGTACATTAACACCCATAATATTTTTTTTTGCTACAACATTTAATATTCTGTTACTTTTAGAAACATGTCATAATGTGAATTTTTTAGCTTACCATTTATTTAAAAATATAAATATAAATTTCCTTAACAAAATTATGAAGCATACAAATGACATACATTAGATTATAATATTTCCTCAGTGAAGTCTGTGAATATAAACTACCATGCAATGTCAGCTTTGACCCAAGTTGAGCTGTTTTGAGACTGACATCACCCCATTCAGGACATTTCTAGAAGCGCGTCATCCTCATCTTCAGCAGCCAGCAAAGAGTTCCAGCTCCAATGGTACTAACAGCAGTTTGATTGTATGTCTTTCTTGCCTGAAGCTTTGAGTTGAATTATGTCTAACTAATCAACTAGACACATCAGGATAACTTGGTGGCTATAGGCTTGCCTGTAGCTCAAAGATCTTTAGATTCGAATCTGCATTAGGGGCAGATTTGTATGCATGACTCAAAGTTGACCTAGCCTAAAATAGGTATCAGGAAATGTAAAAAAAAAAAGTAAAGGACCCTTTTCCATGCCTTTAGGCGTATAGGGCATATAGGGCTAGACCTATATTTTTATAGACCACTCGGCACAAGATGGGTTATGTGGTCAGCATCACGTTGGCCAACTTTACTTCCCTGGACTGCACCCGGTACCCACTCAAGGCTGGGTCGACCTGGGAGCCATGGTCATTTTTGAAAATAGTCTGGCTCATCAGGAAATGTGCTGGCAGGTAACCTTGGCTGACGTGATGTTGTCGACATCACCCATTGTGTGCTAAATGGTCGATAAATATATGGGTCTAGCACCATATACCAAATATGCCGAAAGTGTGAAATGGGTTCATAACTCGTTAAGTACCAGTGAACTTACAATACATTTACTGGTTATTTCTTGCAGAATATGCTTTTCTGAATACTCCGTTTCCTTTGCAGCTGTCATAATAACTTATGCTTTCCCACATTTTACAGTAATACTTTTGTTCCTTAGTGTTGTTATTTAAAACCTTCAGGGTCTAAACATTTATTGCTATAAAGTAAACAAATCTTACAAAACAATGAGTTAAAGGATACCTAATTAAGAGTGGAAAAGTTAACTTTTGTCTAAAGTAACATGCAATGTCAGCTTCAGATGAGGTAAGCCTAGTTACATGAACTAATAAACATAGTAGTTTTCTTACTGATTCACAATATTCTAAGAACTGTAATCCAACATTTACATTAATTTATGAATTGAAAGTCTTTACTTCTTTTTTGTGTGCACATTTTCAGACAGTCAATATTACAAATCATACCAAGGGCAAAGTGACAGTTCAGTGGATGGGAGGTTAGTAACACTGCCTCTCAAAAAGTATTCTTGCCTGTATAAACATAAAATATCAAGCAAGTAGTCTATTAGGCGCCATCTCAGCAGTGAAGATTGGTTGCAGTGGATCTCTTTAAAAACTATTTTTCTCCTCTGGAACTGCAGCCAGAAAGATTGCCACCCAGTGACTCAAGGGGCCACTATTCAGATGCAATCAAACAGAAATGAATTTAAAAAAAAAACAGATTGAATCCTTCAGTCCCAAACAACATATCATGTGCACTGATATTTTCCTTTGCACCAGTCAACACATTTTGTATGTCTGCAATTCAAAGTTTAGTCCAGTGTTTCCCAAACTTTTCTTGGTAGTGTACTTTTTTTTTCAATTAAAATTTGAGGACGGCACCCTAACCTAAGTAAAGGTATGACTATTCATTGTCTTGGTTAAATTGATTATGAAGCTTTTACAATATCTCGCGATTCTCCTGTGAAGAGGTTGCGGCTCCTCAGGGCGCAGAGGTGCACAGTTTGGAAAACACTGGTTTAGTCTAAATCAACCCCAATCACCCACAATGTGCTGTGTATTTGGACCCCAAGGATATAGTATACTCATGATTTTGTTGTCATCGTTATTGCTTCAGTCAGACATTAGCTATGATTTTCTGGAACTGAAAGAAAAAACAGTTGATAAGAAGCTGACTGACTGACTTTCTACCCCACCAGGACATCACACAAGCGATAAACACCCGATAACACAAAGTGCCACCATGTGGATGACGATCACCGTGGAGAGGTCCCAGAAACCGCGTTCAGACGATTGGCCATATTTATGGCCTGCCTATATTGCGGCCCCTGGCAAAAGCCAGGGTGGGGCTTCAAATAACTAAAAATTTCATCCTAAAAAGGACGCAAAGATATATGATGAATATATAATAAGGAGCTGATATAATTGTTGGTAGATAAATGACAAATAAATATGATGCATGTTGATGGATAAATGACAAATAAATATGATGTTTCATCTCGATAGATAAATGACAAATAAATATGGTGTTTCATCTCGATAAATAAATGACAAATAAATATGGTGTTTCATCTCGATAGATAAAGGACAAATAAATATGATGTTGCCTGTTGATAGATAAATGAAAAATAAATATAATATTGCATTTTGATAAATAAATTACAAAGAAATTGATTATACATGTCAAAAGATAAATGACAAATAAATATGATGTTGCCTGTTGATAAATAAATGACAAATAAATATGATGTCACATGATGACAGATAAATGACGAATAAGTATGATGCTGCATGTTGACAGATGAATGAAAAATAAATATAATGATGTATATTGATAGATAAATGACAAATTAATATGATGTTGCATATTGATAGATAAATGACAGATAAATAGGATGTTGCATGTTGATAGATAAATGACAAATAAATATGATGTTGCATGTTGATAGATAAATGACAAATAAATATAGTGCTGCGCATTGATCGATAAATGAAAAATAAATATAATGTTGCATGTTGATAGATAAATGACAAATAAATATGTTACTGCATATTGATAAATAAATGACAAATAAATATGATGTTGCGTGTTGATAGATAAATGACAGTTAAATATGACATTGCATGTTGACTGAAAAATGACAAATAAATAGGATTTTGTTTGTTGACAGATAACTGACAAATGAACATAATCTTGTTTGTTGACAGATAACTGACAAATGAACATAATCTTGTTTGTTGATAGATAACTGACAAATGAACATAATCTTGTTTGTTGACAGATAACTGACAAATGAACATGATGTTGTTTATTGACAGATAACTGACAAATGTATATGATGTTGTTTGTTTACAGATAACTGACAAATGTAAATGATGTTGTTTGTTTACAGATAACTGACAAATGAACATGATGTTGTTTGTTGACAGATAACTGACAAATGAACATAATGTTGTTTGTTGACAGATAACTGACAAATGAACATAATGTTGTTTGTTTACAGATAACTGACAAATGAACATGATGTTGTTTGTTGACAGATAACTGACAAATGAACATAATGTTGTTTGTTGACAGATAACTGACAAATGAACATAATGTTGTTTGTTGACAGATAACTGACAAATGAAAATAATGTTGTTTGTTGACAGATAACTGACAAATGAACATAATCTTGTTTGTTGACAGATAACTGACAAATGAACATAATCTTGTTTGTTGACAGATAACTGACAAATGAACATAATCTTGTTTGTTGACAGATAACTGACAAATGAACATAATCTTGTTTGTTGACAGATAACTGACAAATGAACATAGTCTTGTTTGTTGACAGATAACTGACAAATGAACATGATGTTGTTTATTGACAGATAACTGACAAATGAACATGATCTTGTTTGTTGACAGATAACTGACAAATGTATATGATGTTGTTTGTTTACAGATAACTGACAAATTAACATGATGTTGTTTGTTGACAGATAACTGACAAATGAACATGATGTTGTTTATTGACAGATAACTGACAAATGAACATGATCTTGTTTGTTGACAGATAACTGACAAATGTATATGATGTTGTTTGTTTACAGATAACTGACAAATTAACATGATGTTGTTTGTTGACAGATAACTGACAAATTATTACAATGTTTGCTGACACATAACTGACATATGAACATGATGTTGTTTATTGACAGATAACTGACAAATGAACATGATTTTGTTTGTTGACAGATAACTGACAAATGAACATGATTTTGTTTGTTGACAGATAACTGACAAATGAACATAATCTTGTTTGTTGACAGATAACTGACAAATTATTACAATGTTTGCTGACAGATAACTGACATATGAACATGATGTTGTTTGTTGACAGATAACTGACAAATGAACATGATTTTGTTTGTTGACAGATAACTGACAAATGTATATGATGTTGTTTGTTGACAGATAACTGACAAATGAACATAATCTTGTTTGTTGACAGATAACTGACAAATGTATATGATGTTGTTTGTTGACAGATAACTGACAAATGTACATAATCTTGTTTGTTGACAGATAACTGACAAATGTATATGATGTTGTTTGTTGACAGATAACTGACAAATGAACATAATCTTGTTTGTTGACAGATAACTGACAAATGAACATAATCTTGTTTGTTGACAGATAACTGACAAATGAACATAATCTTGTTTGTTGACAGATAACTGACAAATGTATATGATGTTGTTTGTTGACAGATAACTGACAAATTATTACAATGTTTGCTGACAGATAACTGACATATGAACATGATGTTGTTTGTTGACAGATAACTGACAAATGTATATGATGTTGTTTGTTGACAGATAACTGACAAATGTACATAATCTTGTTTGTTGACAGATAACTGACAAATGTATATGATGTTGTTTGTTGACAGATAACTGACAAATGAACATAATCTTGTTTGTTGACAGATAACTGACAAATGAACATAATCTTGTTTGTTGACAGATAACTGACAAATGAACATAATCTTATTTGTTGACAGATAACTGACAAATGTATATGATGTTGTTTGTTGACAGATAACTGACAAATTATTACAATGTTTGCTGACAGATAACTGACATATGAACATGATGTTGTTTGTTGACAGATAACTGACAAATGTATATGATGTTGTTTGTTGACAGATAACTGACAAATGTACATAATCTTGTTTGTTGACAGATAACTGACAAATGTATATGATGTTGTTTGTTGACAGATAACTGACAAATGAACATAATCTTGTTTGTTGACAGATAACTGACAAATGAACATAATCTTGTTTGTTGACAGATAACTGACAAATGAACATAATCTTATTTGTTGACAGATAACTGACAAATGTATATGATGTTGTTTGTTGACAGATAACTGACAAATTATTACAATGTTTGCTGACAGATAACTGACATATGAACATGATGTTGTTTGTTGACAGATAACTGACAAATTAACATGATGTTGTTTGTTGACAGATAACTGACAAATGAACATGATGTTGTTTGTTGACAGATAACTGACAAATGTATATGATGTTGTTTGTTGACAGATAACTGACAAATGAACATGATTTTGTTTGTTGACAGATAACTGACAAATGTATATAATGTTGTTTGTTGACAGATAACTGACAAATTAACATGATGTTGTTTGTTGACAGATAACTGACAAATGTATATGATGTTGTTTGTTGACAGATAACTGACAAATGAACATGATTTTGTTTGTTGACAGATAACTGACAAATGTATATGATGTTGTTTGTTTACAGATAACTGACAAATGAACATGATGTTTGTTGACAGATTCCAGCCATTTGTTTTCAGTCAGCCCAGTGACTCTAGACATTCCTGCAATGAAGTCATGCTCATTTCGAGTCAGCTTCAAGGCTGTATGTAACTTTTGTCTTATTTTTTGTATTCTTATTTATATTATCCTTTTCACTTGACACCATGACACAACTAATCAGGTATCACTGTCAGCCACAAATAGCCAGCGTGTAACCAGCATATCCCAGAGAAGATTGTATATTGGCGTTGGTATTGTTTGTGCCTGCACACTGTTTACAAGGGCTAGATATCATTAGATGTGCTACAGAAAGAACACTTTTAATGGCAAGAAAATTGCTTTTTTAAAAAGTACATGAGTTGTGAGTTATGAGTTAGATTATCTTCACAGCACTCCGGCCACATCCATAGGCACTCAGATTCCCTTCTCAACATATTCATCAGCGTCTTATGGTTAATAGTGCCAGTCTTATGTTGGTTTACAAGACTTTGTGTGCGTCTGGTGTGCTTCTCATGCTTGGCTGTGCCGATCTTTACTCGCGTATTCTTAGCAGTGATGTGGACACATTGCTTCTAAAATCCTCAGAACGTCCCATCTCTCTAAGGGCAATGACAGTGTCTGCGTGATCCACTGGCCGGTCATCTTCAATTAATGCAGCATCTGCCAGTTTATCAGCTCAAAAGAACTTATGACATCAAAATTGGCTTATACTGCCTTCAGTGGTCACATAGCAGCTATGGTCATGGTTTGAGTCACAGGTGTCAATTATTTTTAGGACAGAGGAAAAATAATCTGTTGATGTTGTGCTTGTGTATATTGATTACCCCCCTTCTCATATTTCTGAACCATTTTCTAAAATATATATAAATATATAATACTGCTGGTTGTCCAGGGACCCTTAGCTTGCTTGTACATAATTGCAACAATATGCTTTTATGTGCACATTTATAAACAGTTTCATTCAAATGTTTGTGTGTGTGTGTGTGTGTGTGTGTGTGTATATGTATGTTTACATGTATTTACCAGCTTGTCTAAAATGGTTGCATGTTATCACATTTCATGTACATTTTTGTATATACTCTTCTGTGTAAATTTTGTATAGCAGTCTATGTGTAGATGTGTGAGTGTACAAACTGACAGGAGGCAGCCAACAAGATGTCTGGGAATGAGCTGGAGTGCTTTGTCTTCTACAAGTCCATAAGAGACTACAGGCTGGTCCAGGATCTGACCGTCTGCCCCCCTTGGTGCCTGACTCTCAAATGTCTCTGTGAGTATTGATCTTGCGGCAACTGTTTCAAGCAGTGTGATGGCATGTGTTAGTAATTGCTAGTGAGATAGTTGTTAACTGTATGGTAGAGGTTGTTAACTGTATAGTAGAGGTTGTTAACTGTATGGAAAGGTTGTTAAATGTGTAGTAGAGGTTGTTAACTGTATGGAGAGGTTTTTAACTGTGTGGAGAGGTTGTTAAATGTGTAGTAGAGGTTGTTAACTGTATGGTAGAGGTTCTTAACTGTATGATAGAGGTTCTTAACTGTATAGTAGAGATTGGTAACTATGGTAGAGGTTCTTTACTGTAAAATAGAGATTGGTAACTATGGTAGAGGTTCTTAACTGTATAGTAGAGATTGTTAACTGTATGGTAGAGGTTAACTGTATTGTGGGGGATACAGTATGGTAGAGTTTTTTTAACTGTATGGTAGAGGTTATTAACTGTATGGTACAGGTTGTTATTAGTAAGGCAAATAGGGTTAACTTATGGTAGATGTTGTTAACAGAATGGCAGAGTCATTACTGTATGGTAGAGGTTGTTAACAGTATGGCAGATGTTGCTAATCTATGGTAGATGTTGTTAACAGTATGGCATAGGTTGTTAACTGAAAGGTAGACATTAAAAATGTATGGTAGAGATCATTAACTGTATAACAGAAGTTGCTAGTAGTATGACAGCAATTGATGGCAACATGTCACTTCTTCAGTCCTACCATTCCACATATCACAGTTGTTATCTGTCTTGAGGAGGGCCACCTCGTTTGTCCTATGTGTATAAAACAGTTGATTCTATATAACAATTTAACAAAAATTTTCTCAATGAAATTACTTTCCTCAATTGCATTCACAGTTAAAAAGGCAGTTTGTACATTGCATTTTGGTTTACATGTAGGCTTTAGGCTCGGTACATTCAGTTTAGGCAAACTGTTAATTACTTTTTTATGACATGCTGACAAGTGGCTGGTCGAATGGTTAAGAACACAGGACTCTCATGCTGGAGACCCACATTTTAACCCTCTTTAAGGTTCTGTTTAGGGCAAAAATAAAATCTCAATCTGCACAGTCTGTGGCAACTGCATTAGCCTTGCAGCCCTTAATACTCATATTTAGAGACCCTCTGCCTACACCACAGGAAAGGAAAATACATGCAGTAATGGCAGTGTATGATCATGTGCTTGTTAGGAAGGCAGTGGATATTTTTCCCCCAAAATGGAGCTCTGGAACCCAGATGGGAGCTCATTCTGATTGACATTCTTCAACCTCATCTTGTTACCTGCTTTTTTATTTCCATTTAACTCTCATGGTTCTGAACAATTGTTACGTCCAAACATTTTAGTTCAGTTTTTGCGTTTTATTGTAAGGAGCTCTGAGTCTTTTCTACTTGTAAGAAGAAAACTAATTAAATTGAGTTGACTTTCAGCTAATGAAAGTAGATGATCTCTATATACAACAATAAGAAAGAGACAAACACTGTTCTTTGGCCACATAATGAGAAAAGAGACATTGGAAAACATCGTGACAACTGGAAAGATCAGTGGAAAAAGGGGTAGAGGCAGACCAAGAGAGATGATGCTGGATGGGCTAAAATGGCATGGAGGGATATCATCAAGAGAGCTGTTCCAGGCAACTAGAGATCGTGATCTGTGGAGACTCATGAGCGCCTGATGATGATGACTTGAGCTCAGTTAATCTTCTTCTTCTTCCTCCTCCTCCTCTTAGCATTCACCAGCTGTGAGCAGAGGCTGAAAGTTCTGGTTGTTTGTCAGAGATATGAACCAGTGTCTTTTGGACCCAGCCCATCTTTGTCTTCCAATTTATGAATTTTGCAATACTACAACAATAACAAAAAAAAGGAACCTCCTTCTTTTTCTTCCCGTTCACCATTAGTAAACTCTGGTGGAAAGTTCTGGTTGTTCATCTACTTTTGGAATGCAGTCCTGTTCCAGAAGTTGAGTGTTGTGTGTGCATCCGTTTTACAGATCTGACTCATTGGTATGCAGATGCTGGTTCCTTGCCTCTCAGGCAGATGCACTCTGACTTCAAAGGAAGCTTCCAATTAGTCGACTCTTACGACATGCTTTTGGGTAGGCAGTGGGTCTATTATTAAAATAAACACTACGAAGACAAGACAATGATGATAGGAAGACATAAAGACAATTTAGAAATTAAATTAAAAAAACAACACCCTGAGACAAACAGAGGAATTTTACATCCGACGGAAAACTGGACAGAGAAATTAGCTCCAGATGTGCCAAAGCTAATCAAGTAATGGGTCAACTATCTACCCTGTTGACACACAAGCAGATACCTCGGAGTATTAAAGTGAATCTTATCAGAACTATTTTTTGGCCAACACTATGCTATCAATGCCAAACGTGGACACTTACATCCTCCAATGAACGTCAAATTGTGACAACAGAGATGAAATGCCTTAGAAGAGCTGCTGGAGTTTCAAGGAAAGACAGAAAACAAAATCATGAAATCAGACGAATGCTAGGAATAAAGCCAGTCTTACAGGTCCTTAAAGAACAACAAATGAAGTGGTTTGGACACAACAAGAATGCCCTGGTACTATCCCCCACAGCCAGCCACACTAAAATGTTACAACGGGTATAGAGCGAGTGGAAGACCTTGGAAAAGATGGAGTGATGGCATTAAGAACAGCCTTACAGGAAATGAACATCAGTCTTAATAGTGCTCTTGTCAGAGCTCATCAACAAACATTACATCTCCCCCCGACACTTCGATGAGGTACAAGGTGGAAGAGAAGAAGAAGAAGAAGAAGTGGGTCTATTCTTGTTTTCCCTACAACAGGGCCCCAGAACCCACACGGGGGGGGGGGGGGGGAATGACAAAATATCTTATGAGAAGAACTATCAAAAACATGATATGTTGACTGTTACCAAAAGAGTTAACAAAAACATGATGTGTTGACTGTTACCAAAAGAGTTAACACTGCACATTATCTGGAGCAGTAGTTGAACATCTCCACACAGCCACGTCAGTCAGTCAGTCAGTCAATCAGTCAGTCAGTCAGGTGCCATATCCACAATAAAGGTTGGCTGCAATGGATCTCCAACACTCAATGTCTCTTGTCCTGGTTGTACACACACTTAGACTCATTTCATCCATCTCTCGATGTTGTCTTCCCTCTTGTATCACTGTCTACCTCTTGTTCTCTTGCTTTTCACTATTCTCTCAAGTGTGGTTTTTAAAAGAGTATTATCTTTAAATGTGGCTGAAATATTTATTTCCTTCTTTCTCCTTTTTCATCAACTTTCTTGTCATTTTCAGTCATTTTAGAACCTCAGTATTTGATAGTTTTTGTTTCTGTGAAATACAACCTACTCTTTTTCCTATCCACATCTTCAAAGACTATTAGATTTTCTAGTTACTTATTTGTTTTTCACATTTCTGCACAATACAGTAGGATAAAGTACACATACAATTTGACAATTCTCATTTGTAATATATTGCTCATTTCTCTATTTGTTGGTAATTTCATATCTTGTTGAAGATTTGTTTTTTAACCATTACTATTCAAGAGAGGTGATTAAATAAGAGAAATGTCTGGGCAACTTTTAGTATCAACAGCTATAAAACGGAGAAGATGGAGCTATATTGGACATATCCTGGGAAGAAATGAGCAGAGAATCACCAAACAGGCACTCAAGTGGGAAATAATGGATTAAGGAGGCGAGAATGCCCCCCCCCCCACACCCCCTGAAAAAATAAAATAAAACAAAATCAACAACAACCCTAAAATGAACAGTGATGAGAGAGGCCAAAAGTGCTGAACTGGATTCCTTACAGGATACTGAATTAATTGCACAGAATAGAAATAAATGTAGGAATGGACTACCAGCCCTAGATAACATAGTGGCACACCAGGACAATGAATGAAAGAATGGATTCTCTTACTGATTTCTTTCTCTGTCACCGTCTGCTATTACATGTCCAAGATAGGAGAATATCTAGCTACAAATTTCACAGAAATGAATGAATCAATCTCAGGTCACACTTTTATGCCGAACAATGACACCTTCTTGCCGCATGCGGTCATAGAGCCACGTGTGGTGGTGTTTTCAGCTGTCAACACAGGGGAGAGCACTCACGAGACCTTACTGATGGTCAATACTGGTGACACCCCTATCTTGTACGACCTGACCTTGAGCTTTACAGGTCAGGGCAAGGTCAGATGTGGTACCACACCTCAGACAGAGTGAGTAATCATACTTTCTGTCTTTAATCACTTTCTCTGTTTCTCTCTACTTTCTTTCGCTCTACTTACTTTCTCTCTCTTTCTCTGTCTCTCTACTTATTCTCTCTCTTGCTGTATCTGCTCACTTTATCTCACTTTATCTTTATATGTACGTGTCTGTGTGTGTGTCTGTATTTTTGTCTAAGTGAGTGTGTGTGTCTCTGTGGGTGTGTTTGTCTGTGGGAGTGTCTGTGTTTGCATGTGTGTGTCTCCATGCATGACTGTATGTATGCCTGTATTTATGACTGTATGTTTGTATGTATGTATATATGTATATCTGTCTGTCTGTCTGTCTGTCTGTCTGTCTGTCTGTCTGTCTGTCTGTCTGTCTGTCTGTCTGTCTGTCTGTCTGTCTGTCTGTCTGTCTGTCTGTCTGTCTGTCTGTCTGTCTGTCTGTCTGTCTGTCTGTCTGTCTGTCTGTCTGTCTGTCTGTCTGTCTGTGTGCGTGCGTGCATGCGTGTGTGTGTGTGTGTGTATGCGCGCACTTGTATGTATGCCTGTATGTAATGTATGCATGTGTGTATGTGTGTGTGAGTTGGTGAGCGTGTGTATGTGGGTGTATGTATGTATATGGGTGTATGTATGCACGTACGGGTTTTTTGCATGCACTTTACAGCTCATGCTTTTGTGTTCTTTTATAATATTCATAATTTTCATATCATCATATGATCATAACATGATTTATTTGTAAAATACAACTGCTGTGCGAAAGATGGTTGACTGGAAGGGCTGAATGTAAGACGGACCTGCATGCCCAATTTGTGACCCTTTGAAAATAAAGTTCGTTTGTTCAGTCTTTCTCTTTTTCTTTACTCACGTTTATTTTCTTCTCCTTATTTTCTGTCTGTTAACTCACTTTCTCTGTCTTTAATAACTCTGTATATATGTGTGTGTTGCTCTCTTTCTTTCTAATCACTCTCTTTTTTTCTTTCTATTTGTTGTTCTTTATCTGCTCACATTCTGTGTCTCCTCTCTACTCAGTTTCTCATTCACTGTCTCTCTCTCTCTCTCTCTCTCCCTCTCTCTGCAGATTTTCTTACTATTCTCTGTGTCTGTTCTTTCTTGCCCTGTTTTCTCCCTCAAGTCATCTGAATTAATGCCATTAAGTACATTAGCACATTTCACACATATAAATTGATATTATTATGTAAATTGATGACTCTTTTACTCCTTTAAATATGAAATGCACATTTACATTTCCCATAAACCTGAATACAAATAACCAGAGCATTTATATAAATCCCCATTACTATGTAAATCGATAAAACTGCAGTATAATGTCTGTGTTGTCTCTTGCTCTCTGCTTCTCTTTCATTCTCTCTCTCTCTCTCTCTCTCTCTCTCTCTCTCTCTCTCTCTCTCTCTCTCTCTCTCTCTCTCTCTCTCACATACATATAAGCATATAACTCACATACATTTCTAAAATATCCCCTCAGCATGTTTATGGTGAAACCCAACAAGGGCCTGCTCAAGCCTGGATATCAGGTATTCTCCCTGCGGATGACCCCTACTGCCGTCAGCACTTTCAGCCATGATTTGCTGTTCAGACTCAACGATCAAGAGAAGTATGACTAGGTCAGGTCTTAGTTACTATTCCCAACATTCTCACTGCTGTCTTCATAAGGCTTGGGGAATGTCTGGTTCATTGCCCTTATGAGACCTGATTTACGGTGGAGGTTTCAAATGAAAACCTCAAAGGTATGATAGAATACAATTGCTAGACCGACAGACATACATCACCATTTTGGACCTCCATTTGCCAATTAATTTCTGTAAGTTTCATCTCTTCACGGATTTAAAAAATGGATAACAAAAGGCTGTTCCTCTTTGGTACCTGTCAAAAGTAGGGCAACCATCTGTCATTATGATATCACTGTGTTTGTCTGCAGAGTGATGACACAGGTTATGAGACAATGAGGTTATTGTAATTTTTATCACACTTTAAAGTTTTTAATTTGAAGCCCCCTTCATAATTTTTCTTGGCCCTACCAAGTAACTGTTTGACCAAATATAGCTGGATAATTTTTGTGTTGATAATTTACTATGGTGTGTACATTTTATTATGAAAATCAAAATTCCTTGTGTGAGTTTCATAGCCCAGTTCTCTGTGTGTGTGTGTGTGTGTGTGTGCATGGGTGCAAAATGCATGTACGTGGTAGAAGGGGGGTGGTGGGGGGGGGGGGGAGATAAACCACCTGCCTCCTTAACAAGCATGTGATAAATGGCAACTAATTAGGGGTTTGATGAAATCAGAAGTCTTGGGGCTTAAGGTGCTGATATCACAGTCTAGCTATAAGCCACAGTGCAACCTGCCACCTGCACTTGTAAGGGGGAACAAAAAAACAGAAAAAAAAAAGGATGACATAGAAGTAGAATATAAAAATGATCTTTGACAGAAAAAAATTTATTGCACCCCCTGGTCTATGTTATCCTTTCGTCTTCTTTTCTTCTTCGTTTCCTCTTTTACCACTAGGTGTCGGAGGAGAAACCTGGTTCTGGTTTTAGCTCTTCTGCTCATCTTAATCATCATCCTCACCTCAGCCATAGCCACAGTTGTAGAGACTCTCCAATGCTCATCTCCATCATCATCCTCACCTCAGCCATAGCCACAGTTGTAAAGACTCTCCAATGCTCATCTTCATCATCATCCTCACCTCAGCCATAGCCACAGTTGTAGAGACTCTCCAGTGCTCATCTTCATCATCATCCTCACCTCAGCCATAGCCACAGTTCTAAAGACTCCAGTGCTCATCTTCATCATCATCCTCACCTCAGCCATAGCCACAGTTGTAGAGACTCTCCAGTGCTCATCTTCATCATCATCCTCACCTCAGCCATAGCCACAGTTGTAGAGACTCTCCAGTGCTCATCTTCATCATCATCCTCACTTCAGCCATAGCCACAGTCATAGAGACTCTCCAATGCTCATCTTCATCATCATCCTCACCTCAGCCATAGCCACAGTTCTAAAGACTCTCCAGTGCTCATCTTCATCATCATCCTCACCTCAGCCATAGCCACAGTTGTAGAGACTCTCCAGTGCTCATCTTCATCATCATCCTCACCTCAGCCATAGCCACAGTCGTAGAGACTCTCCAGTGCTCATCTTCATCATCATCCTCACCTCAGCCATAGCCACAGTTGTAGAGACTCTCCAGTGCTCATCTTCATCATCATCCTCACCTCAGCCATAGCCACAGTTGTAGAGACTCCAGTGCTCATCTCCATCATCATCCTCTCCTCAGCCATAGCCACAGTTGTAGAGACTCTCCAGTGCTCATCTTCATCATTATCCTCACCTCAGCCAAAGCCACAGTTGTAGAGACTCTCCCAGTGCTTATCTACATCATCATCCTCCCCTAAGCCCTAGACACAGTTGTAGAGACTCTCCAGTGCTCATCTCCATCATCATCCTCACCTCAGCTGTAGCCACAGTTGTAGAGACTCTCCAGTGTTCATCTCCATCATCATCCTCACTTCAGCCCTAGACACAGTTGTAGAGACTCTCCAGTGCTCATCTCCATCATCATCCTCACCTCAGCTGTAGCCACAGTTGTAGAGACTCTCCAGTGTTCATCTCCATCATCATCCTCACTTCAGCCATAGCCACAGTTGTAGAGACTCTCCAGTGTTCATCTCCATCATCATTCTCACCTCAGCCATAGCCACAGTTGTAGAGACTCTCCAGTGTTCATCTTCATCATCATCCTCTGTTGTCCTTACACGGAACTTAGTTTTTGCTGGCCATTCTTCCATTCTGTTCTATCCTGTGCTGTTTTATTCGTGGTCTACCTCAGGCTTTACATTTCTCTTCTCTTTTGGCATGTGCCTTGTATAGTATGGCCTAACAAAGAATACTCCCTAAGGAAGCAAATCATTTTGTTTGCCAACTAATCATTTGTTTGCCGACTTTGTATTAATTTGGTAATATTTATTGGCTGACTTTTTCTCTTATGATTTCATTACTAATTCTTTTCACTTCTAGTCATTCTTTCAGTCTTTCTCAGAATATCATGTCTGTGGTTACTAATTATCAGGGTCATTTCTTCAGAATGTCTTATATTGCATTTACCATTAGGATTTTTGGTACATTGTGCTTTAATTTTCAGCTAAGCTGCAATATCTGTGCCTTTTGGCCAATTTGGTTTCAGCATACTCCTAATTAGTTGCCTTTTATGACATGCTTGTTAGTACACGGTGGGTATATTCTAGGGCTGTACCGAATATTCGCTTCGTATTCGCTTTGGGGTGCGAATAGTGGACCCAATAACTATTCGGTATTCGGCCGAATAGTTGCGGTCAGGCCGAATACGAATAGTGGTTACCTCTCAACCGTTTCTGGACTGGTGGAAAAAAAACATCAAGACTTCCCACCTTGGTTTATACTGTGAAGCGTTATCTTTGTGCACCACCTACGAGCGTACCAAGAGCCCCTTTATTTCTATCTTGCATGTGTTGCGAGTATAGTGTTTTTAGGTGTGTTGCTGTAAAAACAAAATGCAACACTTAAAAATGTAAGAGGGGCAGAAAAGCAACCCCCCCCCCCCCTGACCCCCCTCCCCCCTTGCAGCCTATCGTAAAAAGTGACTAATGAGGTGCTTACCTCTGAAAATGGAGTGCGTCTGCATGAGAAGCCAGGTATCAACATTCTGCATATGTGTAAGCCACATCTGTAAAATGGATGTGCATGTAAAATGGTAAGTTTTGGAACAAGATCAAAGTTCAGAAGTGGACCAACAACCAAATCATTCCACTGCAGTTTACAGCTGGTGAACACTAAGAAGAAGAAGACGAAGAAGAAGAAGAAGAAGAAGAAGAAGAAGAAGAAGAAGAAGAAGAAGAAGAAGAAGAAGAAGAAGAAGAAGAAGAAGAAGAAGAAGAAGAAGAAGAAGAAGAAGAAGAAGAAGAAGAAAGAAGAAGAAGAAGAAGCAACAGAAGAAGAAAGAAGAAGAAGAAGAAGAAGAAGAAGAAGAAGAAGAAGAAGAAGAAGATGAAGAGGAAGAAGAAGAAGAAGAAGAAAGGAAGAAGAAGAGGAAGAAGAAGAAGAAGAAGATGATTTCCATCACCTCTGATGTGTAGATTGCAGTGATCTTGTAGTCAACAATCTGATTGAATTTTTGTCCTCTATCTTCCATACTCAGATTGCAGTGGACATTTAGTCCAGAATCTAGTCAATTTCTGTGGGTGCAGCCCGGCTCTGGTGTTGTCCAACCTAACCAGTCAGTGGTGAGTCTCACATGGTCATTGTTTTAAATACACATGTACGTTTGTGATTGTACTTGATTCTTTGAGCATGATCTGGCAGGTCGAGGCAGGCTGGTTACACAGACAGTGGTTTAAATCATTACAAAACTCTCTGGTGTGTGCAATTACCTTCATATTTGTCCCAAGTTATGTAGGCGTTGTTGGTAATGAAAGAGTTGACAGACTGGTAGGTGCTGCATTAATTGAAGATGGTGGGCCCATGGATCACGCAGACATTGTCATTGCCCTTAGAGAGACAGGATGTTTCTGTGGATTTTGGAAGCAATGTGTCCACATCACTGCTAAGAATACAAGGATTGGGAGTTAAGATTGGCACAGCCAAGCATGAGAAGCACACTAGATGCACACCAAGTCTTGTTAACCAACATAGAACTGGTACTATTAACCATGTGACGCTGATGAATATGTTGAGAGGGGAATCTGAGTGTCTGTGGATGTGTCCAAAGTGCTGTGAAGATAATCTATTTCATAACTCATTATTGTACTTGGAGTACAGTGAGGACTTTATAAATGAGTTTAAAAAAAGTAAAGGACCCCTTTTCCAAGCCTTCAAGCGTATTGGGGCATGTAGTACTAGACCTATATTTTATAAACCAGTCGGCTCTTGATAGGTGATATGACCAACATTACATTGACTATCTTTCCTTCCCAGGACTTTACCTGGTATCAATTTAAGGCTGTGTCAACTTTGAAACTAGACTGATTTAAAAAAAAAGAAAGTCAAGACTTAAATCAGATTTGAATCCATGACCTTTGGATCCACAAGCGAGTGTCCAGCTGCTACACCATGGTGGCTGTGCTTTATAAATCATCAATGATAAATGCTTTAGGAATCATTTTATAAAAATTTGATGCGGGAATCAAATGAGCAGCACCAACCAAGCACATCAGATTGCTCATTACTGATTTACAATTTCACCCTGACAAGTCAACAAACACATAGGATTCCTGAAAAAAAAATGTAAAAACAACAGCAGTTTTCACACGGGTTACTAATAAATTAATTAAAATCTATTTATCAATGTTTTAAAAGTATTTTGCAAAGTAGGTAAAGATATATTTTGGAGTAATCAGTAAACTAGTACGGGGCAAATCGTTAAATTGAATATATCCCCAGGGCCTAAAAAAAAAAAAACATACCTATCAGGCGACTCATGTCATAACCCTATGACTTTTACCACAGACGCTTATGTGAAAATCTTACGTCATCTTAGCTTTAAAAAAACACCATTTAGCACAAAGGAAATCCCCTCTAAATGCTATTGTAAGTTAATTTATTAATTTCCTGACCACCCAAACATTTGTGCAGGTGCAAACTCAGCCTGTTACATTAACTATACGTCTTGTAAACTGATCACGATAGGCAAGTCGAAATGTGACATTTATGGAAAATTGGACCCAGCTGCAAGTGTCAGTTTTAAGGTTCTTGGGGTGAAAGGGTTAACATTGACATCACAGAAAACCAGTCATGCCCTTAGATGCTCCATCTCCCCCAACAAATGTCTTAAAGTTCATATGCTGACTGTTGCAGTACCAATTGTACACACATCATACTCTTATTTTCATGTGTCTTTTCTTGCCAGATTCCTACAGAATAGAATTAGGCATCTTGTTAGAAATCTCACTTGATTTGTCCCATTTGCACAGAGCCAAATATGGACGGACATTCAGTCCAGCAGAGAAGAAAAAGTCTGTCATAACAGCAACACTTGTGGTTTGGGGTCAAGGTCTCAGTGTCCTGTCATCTGGTGGCAACAAACCAACATTCTCTCTTCATATCATTGGTGAGGGATCCTACGCAGATTTGCAGGTTTGATATTCAGTCAAATAAAATTTACTCTTATAATCATTTCTCCATGTTTCTTGTCACCCGCCACAGCTTCATGTTACTTTTACATCATTTGACCCACTATCTCAACATAATCAGATTTAAAAAAAATAAAATTTGTCACCACTATCTAACAGCCATTTAATTTTTCTTTCTGCCATTGTCAATTCATCACATTTACTTTGTCGGTGCCATCTAATTTTCTTTTTCTTAATGTAAAATAAAAATAATTTGCTTTCTGTCGGTGCTATCTAGTTTTATTTCTGTCCCTATGAAATCTAATGATCTGTCAGTGCAATCCAGTTTTGTTCTGTCATTGTTAGATATTCTAATTTACCATCTGTCATTGTCATCAGATTTACTGTCTGTCACTTTCAAGTAATATAAATTCTGCCACTGTTGTCCAAAATACTACCTACCCATCATTGTCAGGGAGTCTTCTTCTGTGTTCACCCTCAAAATGGCATTTGGATCATTATGTTGTGGTTTACAGCTAGGCTGCAGCATCTGCGTATTTCGGCCCAACACATCCTATTTCAGTAGACTCAGAAACCCATCTGGGGAGTCAAGTTATCTACAATTGACTATCAGTCACTGCTATCTAACTGACTGTTTGTGATGAATTTCTATCCATCACCATCTCATTGACATCCATCCTTGTCAAGCCTTCTAAGCTACTGTTCATAACTGTTCAATCATTTCATTTCTATACATGCCATCTCACTTAATATCTGACACAATCATCTCATTACTATCCATCATTATCAAGCCATCTAAATAACTATCGATAACTCTTAAATCATCTAATTTCTATGCATGTCATCTAACTTGCTCTTAGCCACAATCATCTATTTACTATTCACCATTGTCAAACCATTTAAATTACTGTCGGTAACTGCTAAATCATCTAATTGTTATGAAAGTCATCTAGCTTACCGTCTATCACAATCATCTAATTACTATCGATCATTATCAAACCATCTAAATTACTGTTGACAACTTTTAACTCATCTAATTTCTAAGCCTGACATTTAACTTACTCTCAGCCACAATCATCTAATTACAATCCACCATTGTCAAGCTATTTAAATTACTATCACTAGCTGTTCAATTATCTTATTTCTATGCCTGTCATCTAAGTAAGTAAAGTAAAGATCCCTTTACACGCCCTTAGGCGCATCGGGCATATGGGAAGAGCACCCATATTTTTATAGACCAATCGGCACTTGGTGGGTAATGGGGTCAGCATTACGCCGGCCGTCTTTACTTTCCCAGGACAGCCCATCCTAGTACCCATTTGAGGCTGGGTCGACCTGCGACGTCCCATACCACGATAAAAATCCACGCAGCCTGCAGTGGGTTTCGATCGCGGTATGTTGGATTACGAGTCAGACTCGCAACGCCTTAGCCACGGACGCCGCGCCTGTCATCTAATTACTGTTTAATATTTTATGTTGTAGTCATGGATGGATTTTGGGGACATCTTGGTTGGAAGTTCTGCATCCTGTCCTTTCAACATCTTTAACAACAGCAACTGCAGTCTGCACTACCGACTGATCATAGACAATAATGACCGACAGACAACACCAGCGGAGGCCAGAAGGCTTGGTTCAGTAGTAGACAAACCAGGTAGATATGTGGTCTGTGGTAGTGTCATCAGTAGAGTAGTTAGATGGATGTCTATACTGTTGCAGTGTCATCAGTAGAGTTGTTAGATGGATGTCTAGTCTTTGGCTGTATCATCAGTAGATTAGTTAGATGTCTAGTATGTAGTTGTGCCATCAGTAGATCACTTAGACAGATGTTTAGTTTATTGTTAGATTATAATAGAATAATTAGATAGATGTCTACTCTCTGGTGTCATCAGTAGAGTTGTTAAATAAATGTAAAGTCTGTGATTGTATCATCAGTAGAGTAGTTAGTAGATGTTTAGTCTTTGGTTGTATCATCAGTAGAGTAGTTAGTAGATGTTTAGTCTTTGGTTGTATCATCAGTAGAGTAGTTAGTAGATGTTTAGTCTTTGGTTGTATTGTCCATAGAGTAGTTAGATAAATATCTAGTCTGTGGTGGTATCGTCAGTAGAGTAGTTAGTAGATGTTTAGTCTTTGGTTGTATCATCAGTAGAGTAGTTAGTAGATGTTTAGTCTTTGGTTGTATCATCAGTAGAATAGTTAGTAGATGTTTAGTCTTTGGTTGTATTGTCCATAGAGTAGTTAGATAAATATCTAGTCTGTGGTGGTATCGTCAGTAGAGTAGTTAGTAGATGTTTAGTCTTTGGTTGTATCATCAGTAGAGTAGTTAGTAGATGTTTAGTCTTTGGTTGTATCATCAGTAGAGTAGTTAGTAGATGTTTAGTCTTTGGTTGTATTGTCCATAGAGTAGTTAGATAAATATCTAGTTTGTGGTGGTATCATCAGTAGAGTGGTGTGATATATGTCTAGTTTGTTCTAGTATCATCAATAGATTGGCTAGATAAATATCACCAAGTTACAATTATGAATAGACTATTTAGATAAAAAGTTGGTGCTAGAGTCAATTTACAATTAGATGTGTAGTCTGTGGTAGTATCAATAGACTAATGAGATAAATGTGGTAGTATCAGTAGACTAGTGAGATAAATGTAGTATCAATAGACTAGTGAGATAAATGTGGTATTATCAGTAGACTAATGAGATAAATGTGGTAGTATCAGTAGACTAGTGAGATAAATGAAGTTTCAATAGACTAGTGAGATAAATGAAGTATCAATAGACTAATGAGATAAATGTGGTAATATCAGTAGACTAGTGAGATAAATGTGGTAGTATCAGTAGACTAGTGAGATAAATGTAGTATCAATAGACTAGTGAGATAAATGTGGTAGTATCAATAGACTAATGAGATAAATGTGGTAGTATCAATAGACTAGTGAGATAAATGTAGTATCAATAGACTAGTGAGATAAATGTGGTAGTATCAATAGACTAGTGAGATAAATGTGGTAGTATCAGTAGACTAATGAGATAAATGGGGTAGTATCAATAGACTATTGAGATAAATGTGGTAGTATCAGTAGACTAGTGAGATAAATGTGGTAGTATCAGTAGACTAGTGAGATAAATGAAGTATCAATAGACTAGTGAGATAAATGTGGTAGTATCAGTAGACTAATGAGATAAATGTGGTAGTATCAATAGACTAGTGAGATAAATGTTTTAGTATCAGTAGACTAATGAGATAAATGTGGTAGTATCAGTAGACTAGTGAGATAAATGTTTTAGTATCAATAGACTTATGAGATAAATGTGGTAGTATCAGTAGACTAGTGAGATAAATGTGGTAGTATCAATAGACTAGTGAGATAAATGAGATAAATAGTGGTAGTAGTATCAAGTATCAATAGACTAGTGAGATAAATGTAAATGTGGTAGTATCAGACTAATGAGATAACTGTGTAGTATAGAATGTGAGATAAATGTGGTAGTATCAATAGACTAGTGAGATAAATGTAGTATCAATAGTAGATAAATGTGGGTAGTATCATGTAGACTAGTAGATAAATAGACTAGTGAGAGATAAATGTGGTAGAATCAATAGACTAGTGAGATAAATGTGGTAGTATCAATAGACTAGTTAGATAAATGTGGTAGTATCAGTAGACTTCTTAGATAAATGTGACAGTATCAATAGACTAGTTAGATAAATGTGGTAGTATCAGTAGACTTGTTAGATAAATGTGGTAGTATCAGTAGACTTGTTAGATAAATGTGACAGTATCAATAGACTAGTTAGATAAATGTGGTAGTATCAGTAGACACAATTGTTAGATAAATGTGGTAGTATCAGTAGACTTGTTAGATAAATGTGGTAGTATCAGTAGACTTGTTAGATAAATGTGACAGTATCAATAGACTACATGGGATGCTATTCTTGAAATGATACACAGATCAGTATTTCCAGATCCACAAAAATTGATCACACGGATACACGAAAACACTGACAACTGACAAAGCCAATATCTGACAACATCATCACCTAAAATACTGTCAGTCAGTAATGACCTGCTCCAACATTTGAAAACATTGACGCCTGAAAATCATGACCCCTGACAATATTAACACTTGGAGACACTGACATATGAGAGTGCCAGCATATGACAATATAACCTACCCCTGACAGTTATACCCATGGATTTCAACACCTGAAAATATTGTCATTAGAAAAGGCTGATATTTGAAAAACAAAATAGGGTTTAAATATTTTGAAAGCTTTAGAAGCAGGTTTACTACTCATGCTTTAAATAGTTGTCTGAAAGGTAAGGAACCAACAGTCTGCACACAAATAAGCAAAACCTGTAAAATGTATGTACATGCAAAACTCACATTTTTGGAACAAGAACAAAGTCCAGAAGTGATTTAACAACCAGAACTTTCTGCAGGAGTTTACAGCCAGTGAACAGGAAGAAGAAAAAAACAAAAAAATACAGTCTGAAATAAAGAGGACACATGTGGCGCGGTGATTTCGGTCACAGGCATGAGGCAAAGTTAAGTCTGATGTGATGTGTATAAGGAGATACTCCGTACCCCACTCGGGTGCCAGTCCTTCACTGTACTGGTTTTACGGAACCTCATGCAAGACTCCTGCTGCACGTCCCCGTCGTGCACCACGGATAATGTCTCAAATGAGCATTAACAGAGTTGGCAGGGGATCTCGGAGCTGGCGGCTCCTAGAGGTGTAGTGTCCTTTCTGGCTCTCACCAGCCCGCCCCCAAACGCATGGGTGAAAAGTCTAACAAAACTCAAGGATTGCTTGCTAAATGTACCATCAAATGACAACTCTCGGTTAAAATTCGGGAGCGAATGGAAAACTGTGCTGCTGAGACTCAACCCTGACCGAGAGATTTACCCGCAGCCAAGACGAGTAACATCTCTTGTGGGCGACTTCTCGCAGCAAGATCCTACCTACGTACATTCTCTGTCAATCCTCAGTGTCGTCGTCACCGCGCTGAGGTACACCACAGCAGCAACTTTTCATATGCTGGCTAGGAAATAATGTCCGACAAAGTTATACCCCACGGCACACATGCAAGCTCAAAGTTCGACGATCATAATTCGTACCGATTAGGAAAAAGTCCAAATATCCGTATCCACTGGTCCCACTCGCCCGAGTGTTGGAACCAAACAGGTGAAGCCACGCCTGACACATTTTGCTTCCCCATTCTGTCGTGCTAAGGGCACAACTGAAACAACGTTAAAGGTGTCTAACGTGCGATGAAAAAGAATGTACCTATTTGTGTGGCCACAAAAGTCCTGGACCTGCGGGCCGCTCCCCGCTGATCTCGGAAGAGTGCAGCCTTGTAGCGCGGGAAGCTCAATACACGGTTGTGAGGTTAAGCAGTCATGGGCAGGACGTGACGATTCCTTGGGTGAGCCCAGAACCAGAGCATCATGTGTCGGCTCTGCATTTATGGAAGAATCCTTGGATGGCGGGGAATGCCCACGATCTGCCCCTGCCTTCCCTTGAGGGCTGACAATTCTACCTAGGGCTGCCTTAAGGACGATATTCCAGGGGCCACACCTGTTATAGGTCAAAGAGGACACCACACAAATGAGGCAACATCTCGACCCACACAAAACAATGGCCACAGTCAACCTAGAAATAGGCTTGACGTCTTCCCTCGAAGTCAGAGTACATCTGCCGGAGAGGCGGGGAACGAGAACTGCAAACAAATAAGCCAGTAAAACGGATGTACACGCAAAACTCAGGTCAAGGTAAAAGCCAAAAGTCTATTTGGACGTACAACCGCGACTTACCGCCGGAATTCACAGCCGGTGAACAAGAAGAAGAAGAAGAAGAGGACACACTTCTGACAGTCTTAGCAGTTTGTTGTCTTTCTTTGTCAACAGGTGTGGAGTTTTCCCCGATGACCGCTGAAGTCCCTGCCAGGGGCAAACACTCTATCCTAGCTACTATCAGACCAACCAGACGTATGCAGTACCAGTTTGCAGTCAGCTACCAGCTTGTTGCTGCAGACGGTTTGTTCCTTATGTTTACATCATTATAATTTTGTTTCTTTCTTTGCTTATATTCTGGCACACTCTGGGAATGTTGGTGGTTCGACAGAAGGTTTGGCACTCAGCGACTCGAATACCAGCTAATCAGATGCCTATCCAACATGAACAGATTGCAGACACTCCTGTTTATGGGATAAAAGACTTATTTTAGGGTATTCTACAACAATATGAAATAACTGGCTGTCCTGTGTGGGCAAAGAGGTACTCATCATCATTATCCTCATGGGCTATCTTCCGAATGACGATCCCAAATTATCGAGGCCGAGAATATACCCTAACAGGGTCTCAGTCACATGTAAATTGTGGACTTCCAGGGACTTAAATTGCGCACTTTGTGACTACCACCACCGCCAAGATTATCTCCCACACCGCTACGCGCGGCGTGGATTGGGGCTAAACTAGTTGGCTAGTTCCTTCATTTTATTTGCTCGTGAGTCCCAGCCATCTAGTTTAGCCCCACTCCACGCCAAAGGTGTTCCCTTTGAAATCAGAGTGCATCTGCCTGAAAGGCGAGGAACCAACAGTTTCCATACAAATAACTCAGATCTGTAAAATGGATGTACATGCAAAACTCAACTCAAGAAGTTCAACAAGACTAAGGTTAAGAAGTTGACTAACAACCAGAAATTTTCACCAGAGTTTGCAGCTAGTGAATACTAAAAAGAAGAAGGAGATATTGTAATGGACTCACAGACCATGCTTAGGAAAATAGAAACTGGTATCCTATGTGCAGAAGGATTTGTGTAACTTCATAAGAGTGAGATCAGGTGTATATCGTGGATGTTCTGCTCAGGAGATTTGGATTTGTGTGTGTGTGGTAAATAGCAGACTGATAGATTGGTTACTGCCACTCCTATAGGTGGGTTGAAAGGCATCGATGTGGCAGCAAAAAAAAACTACTGCACAATGTGCCAGCCATTCTTTTAAGACTTCTAGCTCAAAATGGAGGATAGGAATGGCATAATCTTTAGCTTTGGGGTTATTTTTGTTTCTGTCCATGCTTTGCTAATGCAGTTTCCACATATGAGCAGAATTCTACGGTTTTGCTGCCTAAACGACTGAGTTAAGAGCTCGTACAGCACTGTAAGCTGTATTTTTCAATGTGGAATTCCCTTTCATTTGTGCAGCAGTTGTGTCATGGTATTTAATATGGTGAGTAGCTGGTTTACGCATGGACTGGGGGGGGGGGGGGGAGGAGGGGGGAGTGGTAGAGAGGATACAGGCAGATTTTTAGTCAAGCTGCAACTGACACCATCATTATGGTAAATATTTGTTGGCTACTGAAAATGCCCCTGATGTAAATTTTTGATTCGTTTATTCATTCATTTAATAATCTCTAACAGACAAAGCCGCACATCCAGCAGCCCTAGAGCCCCAACATCTGATACACCTGCTGGCCTGCGGAGTGTATCCATCCATGACAGCTGTGGATATCCATGCTCGGGGCAGCGGCATCAACATCAGCAAGAGGTCCTTGTGGAGTCTGTTCTCTCTCAATGAGTGAGTTTGTGTACATGTTTGCTAGTTTATGGTCATGTTTTTTAGAGTTTGTGTACATGTTTATTAGAGTTTATGGTTATGTTTTGTTAGAGTTTGTGTAGATGTTTGTCATATTTTATGGTCATGTTTGTTAGATGTGTACATGTTTGTCAGAGTTTGTATACATGTTTGTTTGAGTTTGTGTATGTATGTTAGATTTTGTATACAGGTGTGTTAGAGTTTAAATTCATGCATGTTAGAGTTTGTGCATGTTTTTTTTTAAAGAGTTTGTGTTAGTTAGTTAGTTAGTTAGTTATTCCTCTTGTGCCAAAGATGGCGCATAGGGCAGAGGTCATAGCTTTCTACGTCTGTCGGTTCGTTGCCACTTGATGTAGGTCTTGAGTGCGACTGAGACCTTTGGTTGAGCTCTCCCTTGTGATGGTTCTACGGAGAGTTTCTTTTGGTCTTCCCTGTTTTCTTTTACCCTCTGGTGACCATATGAAGGCTTGGTGGGGAAGTCTCTGTGTGTCCATTCTGAGTACGTGACCGATGTAATTCCAGCGACGCATTCTAATAAAATCAGACACATATTTTTGTTTTGTTTCCTGTCTTATAGATGTATTGGACCTAAAGTCCGACCAGTGAACATTCAATAGCTTTCGGAGGCATCTATTCTCGAAAGCGACTAGTTTCTTATCGATTGATACTGATGATAAGAGTTTGTGTACACATTTGTTAGTCAGGCTTTAAATATTGCATTTGTTAGTCAGAGTTTGTGTCATGTTTGTTAGTCAAAGTTTGTGTACATGTTTTTTAGAGTTTGTGTACATGTTTGTATCTCTGTGACCTCTGTTTTACCTAATTCCACTGGCAAGACATCAACATGGCTGCTTCTGGATACTCAGTTAAATGATTTTGTGTATTCATGTGGTTTGGTTTGATTTATGTATGTACTGATGAAGGCTCTATAGCTGCAGCGTTCATGTTTTGTTTGTGTTTGTTACATTATTAAGCTCGCAGATCTACTTTTCGTTCAGTTTTATATCTTTATGTTTGTTAGTCAGTTTATGTACATGCATTAAAAGTGGGAAGTTAACACCGAGAGGCGGACAAACAGCAGTCCGAAAGAGTGTACGTCCTGGACAAACAACAGAACTTGATGGAGATCCATTGTGGCTAACCTTCATTGGGTAGACAGCACCTGATTGATTGATTGATGTGATTAATGTAAACAAAACAAGAGGATAGTGTGTGTTTTCACAATATGTTTTTTTATGTTAGGCTGATATTTTGTACGACGTAGAAGACAACAGTATTATAAAGTTTTTATTAATTTCACTTGTTTTATTAAGTTATTAAATGTCTGTTCCCTGTGTGGGTTCTGGGGCCCTGTTGTAGGGAAAACGAGAATAGACCCACAGCCTACCTAAAAGCATGTTGTAAGAATCGACTAATTGGGAGCTTCCTTTGAAGTCGGATTGCATCTGCCTGAGAGGCAAGGAACCAACAGTCTGCATACAAATGCGTCAGGTCTGCCAAATGGATGCACACGCAACACTCAGGTTCTGGAGTGGTCCAGAAGTGGACGAACAACCAGAACTTTTCACCAGAGTTTACAGCTGGTGAAGGCAAAGAAGAAGAAGAAGAGATGTCTTTCTCCTAGAGCTCATGGTGGGGAGGAGGGGGAGGGGAGGAATAATATACCCACTGTCCCCATAACAAGCTTGTTGTAAAAGACGACTAATTAAGTTTTGTCTTCTTAGATCAGGTATGTTGGGCTGAAAGGCACAGTTACTGCAGCCTAACTGTGAACCACAACACAATGTAACAATGCCCTTTTAAGGGTGAACACAAGAAAAGAAGAATTTCTTTCGAGATTTTAGTCTAAAGTTTATTCTTGCAATCTTTTATTCTATCAGCTTCAATGCTTACCTGGACTCAGATCCTACAAGCACTGAACTTATTCATAGCACAGTACCTCAAGTCAGGTAGATATGTGTAATGTTGGTCTTCCCACCAAAAGTAGGTCAATTCCATTGATAAGTTTGTTGGACTAGTCTACTGTGGTTGAGGTTATGGGTGTGGTGGTCTGTTGTTGTGTTGCATTTAGGTTTTTATTCCGAGAAAGAGACTGCCTGTGACATAGGTTTCAACACTCTCTAAAAGGAGGTGTGTGTTAGAACCAGTTGTCTACTTTTTTGGAGTGTTAACACCTCTGGCTTGGTGAGATATACAACATGTGATGTCAGTGGCATTGCGCAACACCCCCGTGAAAGTGACGCAAGGTCGCATGGCTCAAAGTCGACCAATCAGACGTTAGCTAGGCTGATGAAAGTCGACCAATCAGAAGTTAGCTAGGCTGAAAGACGACCGATCAGAAGTGAGCTAGTGTGTAAATGGGCAGTCGGTGGGGAGACCATTGTAACTATTACCAAAAGACCTACTGTTCCCTAATGAGCATTTCATAAATTTTGAATAATTAGGGATCTGCTGACATCAGATGTGTTGAATCTAAAGGTGGAGTTACTACAGCCTATATATAACTGTGTGCAATGAGAGTAGTCCTTTAGATTTAAACTTTCAAACTCTTAACTTTGTAAATTGATTTGGGCTCTGAGAAATTTTGTCCAGAGTGTAAAACAAATCATAATCTGCACAGTTTGTGGCAACTGCACTAGCCATGTAGCTTTGAATCCTCAAGGCCATATCCCCCTTTTCCCATCCTACAGTGCTATAAATTTTTTAATTTGAGTGTAAAGAAAATTAATGTCTGCTTTTTTCATTTTCTTTCCAGCTGAATTTTGTTGGAGCAACAGTCGAACATACTCGGCCATATGTCCATTTCCCCTCTAACAAGCACATGTTTAATCCAATCCCAATTGGGGAAAAGTTCAGTCCTAAGCAGGTGTATGAACTTTACAACGGTGGAGCCATTCCTGTAACATTTGAGACAGACCTCACTCCATTGGCCATTGTAAAACAGGTAAGGGGAGATGGTTAAAAGGGAGAGGATCACAATGTAAAAGGTTAGAATGGTTGGTTAACACAGGAAAATAGATTTTCAGACAGGTCAGAGTGGTTATTTGGCACACAAGAATAGATTTTTAAATAGAAGAGAGTTAGTTGGTCAACTTATGAGAACAAATTTTCAAATAGAAGAGAACTAATTGGCCAGCATAGAATATATTTTCAAATAGGTGAGAAATTATTGATCAAACGGATGATAATTATTTTATAACTGGATAAAAAAACAGAGAGAAATGATAGCAATTCAGTTTATGAGGTGTGTGTTTCAGATGTTAAACAAAGTAGATAACTGGAGTACAGCTAAAAGAGATAAAGACTTATTTCAAATATTTGAGATTTTTAATCAGATCTTTGGGCCCATCAAAGATGCAAACAGTAGAGAATTGGTGAGTGAGAAAAGTTAGTTGTGTATCCTTTACAGGACGTTGCAGAACCAAGCCCAGCATTTTTTGGCTGTTTTAGTTTTTCTAGGCAAATTTTTACATTTAATTGTTTGCCTTTGCTTTCTGAATTATCAGCTCTCGGTACTGAGATTTGAACCTGGCACCCTGGTATTACAAAGCCTAAGCCACAGATGCCGAGTGAGAATCAACAATAAAATTCAAAATCTACTTAATTACTGTTATCATGACTAAAAGACTGAAATGGTTGGGACATCTAGAGAGAATGGCATACAACTGAAAGACAAAAACTGTATAATCAAAAGAGTTGAATAGGAGTAGACCACAAGGCAGACCAAGAAGACAATGGAGAGATAATAAACAGACAGACACCTACAAACACGTGGTGTCACCAAGTGGAAAGAGAAGGCCAATCACAGAGATGACTAGCAGTGTGTGATATCTGCAGCAGTGGGCCTCAAGGGCTCAAAATGCTGAACAAAGATCAATTAGGAGGTGAAGATAAATAAACAAAAGTTGATGGTACCGATTCATTTCGAGCAGTTAGCAGACCAAACTGTAGCAGTAGGCAAATGTTTTCCTGCACTAGTTAACAAATTTTGTGTGTTATATTTTACCAGGTTTTTTTGATTGTATTGTTAGCAAGTTTCCTTGCATTAATAATTGTCTTTAATTCTCTTGTCTTTTAGCTCGTGTTTTCTCATCTTATTGTTTACAATATTTCTTATGTTAATGTTAATTGTTTTTGTAAGTTACTGTTAACCATGATTAGTTTTGTATTGATAGTTTACCCTATGTGTGTTCTTGGATCTTTTTTCAGTGGGGGGGGGGGGGGGGGGGATAAATAATAGACACACTGCCCTTGTAACAACAAGCATGTTGTGTGAGGCAATTAATTATGTTTGCTGAAATTGGATGTGTTGGGTAAAAAAAAAAATGCAGTTATTGCAGCCTAGCTACAAACCACAACGCAACATACCAACCACTCTTTTAACTATTAATCAAAAAGAAGAAGAAAAAAAAGTTTATCAGTATTGCTTGCATTTAACATTTTTTTGTTTTTGTAATAAGGTTTGTTTTTGTGTCATATTGACTGATCATAGTTTACAATGTCTATTAGTTTGGTATTTCTCCTGCAACTTTTTGTTTGCTGGATTGTCATGTGCCTACTCTGTTTACTATATTTATGTGTTTTTTAATTTATTCAACATGATCTTTACCATCAGGAAAATTTTGATCAAGCTATTTTTGAATGTCTGACACCGAGTGGCAACATCTTACCTGGCCAGACAGCAATGATGGAATGGAGGTTTTCTCCCTTAGAGGCAAAAACATACATGGTGAGTTTAAACTTCAGCCAGTCTATTCACAGTTCCAAACAGTCTGTCTGTTGTTCTAGGCAGTCTGTTAGAGAGTTCTATACATCCCCCTTTCCACCCCCTACCCTCATTTCTATTCATAGTTCTGCATGGTGTATTCACAGTTGTATGCAGTTTATTCATATTTTTGCACAGCTTGTTCACAGTTCTGAACAGCTTGTTCACAGCAGTTTTGTGATCAATACTCTTCAGTTAGATCTCTCTGTCTGTATGTGTATTTGAGTGTGTGTGTGCATGTGTATGCGTATGTTTAATCAATTCTTTCTCCTCAATGTAGATTGATTGCCATGCACCATGAAACTTCAGTCTCTTTCTTCCGTAGTACGACTTTCATAGCTCTGTCCAAAAGCCACTAACACAGTCCTTTTCTAAGCTGCCACCACAGGAATTGAACCCTAGCCACTCAAGTAAAGGGTCTCTTCAGCCTGCCATCCAGTTCCACTCTCTAATAGGTCATAAGTCAGACAGGTTGCAGCTTGAGTTTATATTTATCATTTTTTTTTTCAGACTGCGGTTCCAGATGGTCTGCCATACTCGATAGGGTCCAATAGACTCTAATATCCAGACCCTGCTGTGCTCTTGGCATCACTTCCAGCAACTTTTTTGACTCTGCTAGTGTTAAAGTTAGTTGCATATCCTTTATGACATTACCCCAGCATTTTCTTGGCCGTTGTGGTTTTTCTAGGCAAATTTACATCCAATAGTTTGCCATTGCTTTCTGGACAAGTGGTTTCTCAATACCACTGTCAAAACCATCGCAAGATCCACAGCTGGGATCAAACCTCGGCATTACAAATCGGGTTTGCAACGCCTAAGCCACAGACGATGACCAGTTACTTTTCTTTATTTACTATTTTGTGTGCTTTTATGTGTATGTGGTCATGAGTGCAGACGGTCATATGTCACATAAATTGTAAGTCGAGGAGAAGGTGTATTGAATTAAGAAATGATTTCACTGACCTCCGAGCCACAGGGCCGATCAGTCTTACCTTTCTTTATTTACTGTTTTGTATGTGCTTTTATGTGTATGTGGTCATGAGTGCAGACGGTCATAAGTCACATAGATGGTAAGTCGAGGAGAAGGTGTATTGGATTAAGAAATGATTTCACTGACCTTCTAGCCACAGGGCCGATCAGTCTTACCTTTCTTTATTTACTGTTTTGTATGTGCTTTTATGTGTGTGTGGTCATGAGTGCAGACGATCATAAGTCACATAGATGGTAAGTAGAAGAGAAGATGTATTGGATTAAGAAATGATTTCACTGACCTCCGAGCCACAGAGCCGATCAGTCTTACCTTTCTTTATTTACTATTTTGTGTGTTCTTTTATGTGTATGTGGTCATGAGTGCAGACGGTCATATGTCACATAGATGGTAAGTAGAAGAGAAGATGTATTGGATTAAGAAATGATTTCAGTGACCTCCTAGCCACAGAGCCGCATGTGAGTGCAGTAACAGTTAAAGTTGAAAGACTTGACTTCATTATACAGGTTTTTTATTCCACATGGCTCTCTCTCTCTCTCTCTCTCTCTCTGCTGCTACTGCTGCTGCGAGCACCACACAAAGTGCTAACTGTAGCTCCAGTGAACTTCAAATAAAACCTCTTTAAAACCGCACCTATGAAATAAATCCATGACCTTCAGAGATTGAGGCAGATGGTTTGACCACATGTCTGTGGACTGAAATCACACCCCTATATGTATGATCAATGTCTGTTGATGTATGATTGTGCATTCCCAGGTGGATGTCCCCATCAGAGTCCTCAATGGGGACACAACCATCGTCACGTTCACAGGTGTGGGCTACGACCAGCGAGAGTTGGGTGATACCATGCCGCTGTCTGATGGGTCAACCATCGCTGGTGTGCCTAGCCTTCAGAAAGAGGACTTACCAGGACAGGTTGGTAGGACGTTGTCATATTTTGCCATAATACCGTCGCATACTGTTATAATGCTGTCATTTTATGTTACAGATACTGTTGCTACTTTTGCAGAGTACTGTCATTTATACTGTCATAAATGTAAAAAAGTACTACCACAAGCACTTCTTATAGATCTTCCATGCCATGATGTCAAACTGTCTGTCATCTTCTCTCTCTGTTTCTCTCTGCGATGTTGATTGTCTGCTTATGACGCGGGCAATCAGTTCTCTTCCTGAGTGACCTTCTTTCATGACATTACTTTTTAAAATTTGTAATCTGTCCCCAGTCTTCTCATCATTCATCTATAAAGCCACAACTCTACAGCTGCCATATAATTATATGATTTTATCATATTAATCCAGTTGATGCTGTGATAGCTCATATTGATCCAGTTGATGTTATAATAGCTCATATTGATTCAGTTGATGCTATGATAGCTCATATTGCTCTAGTTGATGCTATGATAGCTCATATTAATCCAGTTGATAATATGATAGCTCATTTCAATCTAGTTGATGATATGATAGCTCATATTGATCCAGTTGATGATATGATAGCCCATATAAATCCAGCTGATGCTATGATAGCTCATATTAACTCAATTGATGCTGTTGATGACATACGAAGACAGAAAGTGAAATGGTTTGCCCACTTAGAGAGAATGCCTTGTGATACCATACCATACAAAGCATACATAGAAAGAGAAGAAGGACATAGAGCATGGGGTAGACCAAAAACAATATGATATGGAAGGATAACATCAGAGAAACTCTACAACAGCACGATGTGCCTATGGTCGAGGTAGCCAGAAGAGCTAGAGACAGAACCTTATATCTTCCTCGACACCCACAGTGGTAAAAGAGGAAGTGAAGAAGAAGAAGATGCTGTGATAGCTCATATTGATCCAGTTGATAATGTGATAGCTCATTTTGAGCCAGTTGATGATATGATAGCTCAAATTGATCCAGTTGATGCTATGATAGCTCATATTGGTTCAGTTGATGCTATGATAGCTCATAATTATACAGTTAATCATATGATAGCTCATATTGATCCAGTTGATGATATGATAGCTCAAATTGATCCAGTTGATGCTATGATAGCTCATATTGATACAGTTAATCATATGATAGCTCATATTGATACAGTTAATCATATGATAGCTCATATTGATACAGTTAATCATATGATAGCTCATATTGATACAGTTAATCATATGATAGCTCATATTGATACAGTTAATCATATGATAGCTCATATTGATACAGTTAATCATATGATAGCTCATATTGATACAGTTAATCATATGATAGCTCATATTGCTCTGTGAAGCTCATGATTAATGTTGCAGTCTGTAAATGTCTTGACTAATTTCACACAGTTTGTGAATGTCATAATTAATGTTGCGCAAACAGGGTATTCTGTCATTAATGTTACCTAGCTCAGGCAAATTAATATTTCAACATACCATTGCCACTGATTCCACGTGGACTGCTAACTCATGGTTCAACCACTCTGAAAATACAGAATCTCAGTCTGGATGGCAAGCCAACAGGACAGGTCTCAGATACTCCGTTCACCTCCAACAAAGTTTTATCCCGGGCACTTTTAATGGCCACCCTTGGCTGGTGTAATTGTTTCACTATTACTCACTTCTGCCACAAGTGAATATCCTAACATTATGGACCATAACTCTTGTTTATAATTTCTGAATAATCCTTGACAATTGATGACATCTGCACCAACAGCTGGGTTATCTTTCCATGGAAAGAATCTCTTTTGGAAATCTGCCAATGTTCTCAGTAACTCGTCGCATGGTATTCGTCACAAACAAATCAAAGGACAGATCCATCTTCTTTGAATGGCACGTCACTTCACAGAAGGATTCTCGGGTGAGATAAGTGAAAACATTATTTGCATCAGAACCGATTGTTGTTGTTAAAGTAGTCTTTGTTGTTAAAGTAATTATTGTTGTTGGTAAAATAGTCATTGTTGTTGTTAAAGTAATTATTGTTGTTGGTAAAATAGTCATTGTTGTTGTTAAAGTAGTTATTGTTAACTTTTTGAGTCCCGGGGAACACATCACGCGCTAAGTGGTTACAACCCAGCGACCCAGTCAGCGCGTGACAAATAAAGGTTTTTGATTTACCACTCATCAGTAATAAAACATGGACCACTCAGTTTGAACTTTTTTTTTTCAAGATCTTTGTGTCTGATATCAGGCATGCTCATTTGTAAACATGGTTTGCCGAGAATATGGTTGCCGAGCAGTATTCTACATGCATGCCAACATGATTTATGGCTTTAGAAGCGTCAGATTTAAATAAAGCACGTGTGTATTAGATTTATCTGAAGCTAGCTGGATAAGGTTGGGAAGTATACTTGTTTCAGTCTCTTTTATCGAGTCATGAGGGATATATCTAATGTGTAACTCATGCGAAGGGTACAATGATAGCAAAGTTAGCTGGAACATATAGAATAAATATGAGTGAAAAGGCAATTTTCTTCAGTGTCGGCTAGTTTTAATGCTACTCCCCTTATTATTTAGGAACATAGCTATAAAATTACAGGCAAATTGAGTGCTAAATAAACTTTATTTTGTGTGAATCTACTGATTGTTTTGGGAAGTCAGTTTTCTTTACCAAATAATGATGCTCTGTTATGATGCTTCAAAAGATTCTCTGGAACAAAATCTTATGTAAAGACTGAGTTTATATTTTACTTATACATTACTAAGTGGTTCATATTAATTTGTGATTCATTTTTGGATATATTTTAACTAGTTTTACTTGAGTGCCATGGTGGTAAGAGAAAATGTTTCTATTTGATTTTACTAATTTCTTTTAACACACATTCTGTTTATTTAATTACTAACGTGATTATTTGTTGTAGCAGTATCCTATTATTATTCCCCAATAATCCCTGGTCACTTTGATGTATAATATATGTATGTTGCATGGCAGTTGAATTAGTATGGTCTGTTTTAATATGAAACAGTTGTGAAATTAAACAATTGCATTACCTTTCAATGATGAATGTTATCAGTGTTAAGACTGTAGTTGTTGTGAAAGTAATTACTGTTATAACTGTGTTGTTGTGAATTTCATTGTTGTTATGACTTTAGTTGTGAGTGTTATTGTTGTTCTTTACTTTATTTGTACCTGATGTAAATATCTTTTGTCCTAGTTTATTCACATCTATCCAATGAGAGGAAAGATTGGACCCAACAACTTCCAGATGTGTCCAGTTTCATTTTTGGCACTTGCTGGTCCTGCTTTTGATGATATTGACCTGGTTTGTGAGGTAAGTCAATTGTTAAGCTGATTATCTGTGTCCGAAATGGTTGAATGAGACGGAGATGAGATCAAAGGTTGCGTGTTCATGGCTACAATGCCACATGGCATGGGCTATTAGAAGACTGTATGACTAAAAGGCTGAACAACTCAGTGAACAGATCTGTTAATGTTCATTAGGTTTGAAATATTTGGTGATGATTGGTGAAATGTGGATCAGTTAGTGGTGAAATTATGACCGTTGATTAGTGAAATATAGTTCACTTAGTCATGAAATGTTGGGTGGTGATTGATAAAATATGGGTCAGTTAATGGCAAAATATTGGGTGGTGACTGGTGAAATATGGATCAGTTAGTGGTGAAATCTTTAGGGGTGGTTGGTGAAATAGGAATAAGTTAGTTCAGAAATGTCTGATGTTGACTGGTGGTTGATGAAATATTGACTACGAAGTGGCAGAATGTTGGGTTTTGATTAATGAAAAATTGAACATTTTGTGATTAAATCTTTGGTGGTGATTGGTAAAAAAATGAATCAGTTAGAGGTGAAATACTAACAGTAAGTAGTGAAATGTTGAGTAGTGATTTGTGAAATGTGGAGCAGTTAATGTTGAAATACTGAATTGTTACTGGTAAAATATGGATTCATTATTGCTGATATATTCGATGGTGATCAGTGACTGTTGACCAGTTAGTGATCAAATGTTTGGTAATGGAAAAGGATTGATGAAAAAAATGGATCAGTTTCATGAGTGATTTATAAATTTAAACGCACTCTGAGATAAATAGCTGCAGCAGCACAATTGTTGAAAGATTGCCTGTCGGTTGAAGGTTTTGCGGCGTTAAATGCTTATTAGACAGATTTAGTGTAACTGACTTTGAGGTAATGTTGACTTACAGGTTGACTCAGGATAAAACAGTAACTAGGAAAGGACCTGGCAAGTAAAGACTACACGAGCCATCTAGTCCTAATGTCCTGACAAGTAAAGACTACACGAGCCATCTAGTCCTAATGTCCTGACAAGTTAAGACAATATGAACCATATAGTCCTAATGTCCTGACAAGTTAAGACAATATGAACCATCTAGTCCTAATGTCCTGACAAGTTAAGACAATATGAACCATCTAGTCCTAATGTCCTGACAAGTTAAGACAATATGAGCCATCTAGTCCTAGTCCTGACCTAATGACTCCTGACCCATCTAGTCTAATGTCCTGACAAGTAAAGACTACACGAGCCATCTAGTCCTAATGTCCTGACAAGTTAAGACAATATGAGCCATCTAGTCCTAATGTCCTGACAAGTAAAGACTACACGACCCATCTAGTCCTAATGTCCTGACAAGTAAAGACTACACGACCCATCTAGTTCTAATGTCCTGACAAGTAAAGACTACTGACCCATCTAGTCCTAATGTCCTGACAAGTAAAGACTACACGACCCATCTAGTTCTAATGTCCTGACAAGTAAAGACTACACGACCCATCTAGTTCTAATGTCCTGACAAGTAAAGACTACACGACCCATCTAGTCCTAATGTCCTGACAAGTAAAGACTACACGACCCATCTAGTCCTAATGTCCTGACAAGTAAAGACTACACGACCCATCTAGTCTAATGTCCTAATGTCCTGACAAGTAATCTAGTTCTAACACGACCCATCTAGTCCTAATGTCCTGACTGACAAGTAAAGACTACACGACCCATCTAGTCCTAATGTCCTGACAAGTAAAGACTACACGACCCATCTAGTTCTAATGTCCTGACAAGTAAAGACTACACGAGTGTCCACAAGTAAAGTCCTAATGTCCTGACAAGTAAAGACTACACGACCCATCTAGTCCTAATGTCCTGACAAGTAAAGACTTACGACCATCATCTAAGTCCTAATGTCCTGACAAGTAAACTACTACACGACCCATCTAGTCCTAATGTCCTGACAAGTAAAGACTACACGACCCATCTAGTCCTAATGTCCTGACAAGTAAAGACTACACGACCCATCTAGTCCTAATGTCCTGACAAGTAAAGACTACACGACCCATCTAGTCCTAATGTCCTGACAAGTAAAGACTACACGACCCATCTAGTCCTAATGTCCTGACAAGTAAAGACTACACGACCCATCTAGTCCTAATGTCCTGACAAGTAAAGACTACACGACCCATCTAGTCCTAATGTCCTGACAAGTAAAGACTACGACCCATCTAGACCCATCTAGTCTAATGTCCTGACAAGTAAAGACTACCGACCCATCTAGTCCTAATGTCCTGACAAGTAAAGACTACCGACCCATCTAGTCCTAATGTCCTGACAAGTAAAGACAACATGACCCAATTAGTCCTAATGTCCTGACAAGTAAAGACTACCGACCCATCTAGTCCTAATGTCCTGACAAGTAAAGACTACACGGGCATCTAGTCTAATGTCCTGACAAGTGTGGACTCTACCCATCTAGTAATGTCCTGATGTCCTGGACAAGTCCTAAAGATGAAGGGCCCATCTAGTCCTAAGTGACTAGATGTCCATGTTACAGACTGACACGACCCATCTAGTCCTAATGTATATCCTGTCCTGACAAGTAAAGACTGACTGAGGATCTAGTCCTAATGTCCTTGACAAGTTTTAAGACACATGACCCATCTAGTCCTAATGTCCTGACAAGTAAGATGTTGACTGCTAGATGGAGTCTTGATCACCCATCTAGTCCTAATGTCCTGGCAAGTAAGGATGAAGGGCTTGATGTTTACCACATCACCCATCTAGTCTTATCTGTCTACAAAAATATAAGTATGAAGCCCTGTATATACTTGTGTATGTTGACTGCTAGTGTTGTGAAAAGGCCCTGTGGCTCAGTTTTACTTTTACCAAGAAAACTTAGAATTGAAGGCCCTTCACACTCAGTTTGTGCTGTAAACTTAGACAGAAAGTCTTGGTTGCCCATGGACTCAGTTTTGGACTTAGTGTTCTAGAACTTGTCTTGAAGGCCATGTGGACTCAGTTGTGTTTGTTCTTGTATGCAGAGTGTTAATTCCTTGCCTCTCAGTCAGTTTGTTGACTGCACTGCTTGAACTTCAAAGGACTGCTAACACCTTGAAGTAGTTGACTCAGTTGTGTTTTTATGACATGTGAAGGCCTGTGGACTTGCTCAGTTGTGTTTGTTGACTGCTAGACTTCTTTTAGGCCCCCAAAATCAGAGTGTTTGGAGTCACACTGGGTTCATTGTAGGTTCTTGGACTTCTTGTTTGTTTGTTGACTTCTTGACTTCTTGTCTTGAAGGCCCATTAGACTCAGTTGTGTTTAATTGTTTGTCCACTGACTGCTAGACTGGAGTCTTGTCCCAGAACTTAAATTCTGTTTGTTGATCTGCTAGATTGATCTGGAAGGCCCTGTGTACTCATTGTGTTTGTTAATTCTTTGCCTTTCACTGACAGTCTTGAAGGCCCTGTTTCTGAGGGAAAATCCCTGATTAGTCACCTTTTCAGACATGCGTTTTTGTGGAGACAGTGGACTAAGTTGTGTTTGTTGACTGCTAGACTGGAGTCTTGAAGGCCCTCAAAATGTGGCCCTGGAGCATACACAGGGAAGTGTTGGTCATTCAGTGGGATGTTTTTCAGAGTGTTATCTTTGTGTTCTGTTGAGAAATGTAGTGTCTTATTGGCTTCATTCTGCAGATTTCAGATTTGTATGACTACACAAACTACAAACGAGAGCTGGCAGCTTGGCAAGCAGAGCAGGAAAGACAGTTAAATCAGTTTACAATCACAGAGAAGGACCTGCATGCAGACATGAGGACCCCAAATGTTGTCACAGTTGTGGTGAGTGACAAACAGTGAAATATACCATAATATGGCTCATTACATTAACAACTGTGGGCTGGATTTGCACCACTGGATGGTGAATTGATAAATGACAAGGCAGATGTGGTCAAGGCCCTTAGGGAACAAGCAACGGAATTCAGTAGAGATAGAAGATTATTATGGCCTGAAGAGAAGGAGGCATCTGGGTGTAACCAGAGGGTCTGGCCGGCTCACTACACTCTGAGGAAAGGGGAATGCCCCGAGTGCTGTGATGTCAATTCCTGACTCAACTCAACTCATTAACTGTGGATCTCTTTCAACAACAGTGGAAAGACAGAGAATGCACTGTTATAGACTGGTAAAAAGGGACGGGGAAAATAAGTGAAACAAATTATATTTAAAATAAATATACATGAAAAAGTGCATGAATAAGTAAATAGTTTTGGTCTATGAGGAGTAGAATTAGTTTAAAGAAATGCAGTTGTCCAGACTGAGGCATCTGAGAACAAATGAGTCTGAAGATCTGTCATCTTGAGTACATGATGCTCTTTGGTGCCATTGTTACTGTGCACACACACATTAGTATAGAATACACTTTGCTAGCATGTTTCAATTGTCCTTAGAATGTACATACAAGTGGAAGCTGTTGTAGTATACGTATTTGTTTATGATCCGTCCTGCTGCCATCTTGACTTTGTACATGTATTCGTACATGACCCACCTTGCTGTCATCTGTGCTTTCTACATACATCTGCACATGACCCACCTTGCCGCCATGGTTGCTTTTTCATTTGCACTCACCAGTACTCTGTTGCCAGTTTTTTAAAATTTTGTCCATATATTGCATACGAGCTAAGGCCTTTTAAAACAAGTGGGTGTCATGTGTTTCTCATGTTGTGTTTATCTGTTTTATGACTTCTTATACATGACAGTTGACTCTGGAGTGGAAGAAACAAGTGGGTATCATATGTTTCTCATGGTATCTGTGTGTGTGTCACTTTTATCACTTGTCGTACGTGACAGTCAACTCTAGAGGCGAAGGAACAAATTGGTATCTTGTATATTTTGGGTTGTGTTTATTAGTTCTTTGACTTGTCGTACGTGACAGTTGACTCTGGAGTGGAAGAAACAAGTGGGTATCATATGTTTCTCATGGTATCTGTGTGTGTGTCACTTTTATCACTTGTCGTACGTGACAGTCAACTCTAGAGGCGAAGAAACAAATTGGTATCTTGTATATTTCGGGTTGTGTTTATTAGTTCTTTGACTTGTCGTACGTGACAGTTGACTTTGGAGTGAAAGAAGCAAGTGGGTATCACATGTTTCTCATGGTGTGTGTGTGTCACTTTTATCATTTGTCGTACATAACAGTAAACTCTAGAGGCGGAGAAACAAATTGATATCTTGTGTATTTCGGGTTGTGTTTATTAGTTCTTTGACTTGTCGTACGTGACAGTTGACTTTGGAGTGGAAGAAACAAGTGGGTGTCATATGTTTCTTATGAAGGGTTTATCAGTGTTACGACGTGTCATACAGTTGACTCTAGACAGACAAAAGCAAGTTCATGTTATGTGTTTCTTCATCTTCTTCTTTTGCATTAACCCAGAAAAGAGCTCGTGAATTCTGTGCTTTTTTTTGGCTGAACGCATCAAATTTTAGCAATATCCAAATTAGTCACCTTTTGTGACATGCATGTTAGGGTACAATGAGTCTATGCCCCCCTCCTCCCACTCCCACTATTTCCCCCTAAGATATGAGGCGCCAGAGTACCTGAACAGGTGGAATGTGTTCAACATGTTTTTATTATTGTCATAACTTGTGATACATACGAGTTGTTATAGTTTGAAAGAGACATGGAGTTATTATGTGTTTCAAATGTTGTATTTATCAGCTCTGGATTTGAGGTTAGTGAATGCATTTAATAATATCTTCTTCTTCTTCACTTCCTGTTTTACCACTCTGGGTGTTGGGGAAGATATAAGGGTGCAGCAGCAGCTGAAGAAAAAGAAGATGAGGAAGAAGGAGGAGAAGGAGATTATATATACATACTACATCATTCTAGGGCAGCTATCACTATATAATATGATTTCTAGCCTGTTTCGGAAAATCTCCACAGACAGCCTCAGCTCTGAATGGTTTAACTTAACCCGTCTCACACCTGAGCATAGGGTAGTGAGCGAGTGGACCAACTGGCAAGTGATACACAATTATATGTGGACAGAAGTATGGACAGAGCTTCACTGCTCTATGGACTAGATCAGTGGTGGACCTTGACAAGTCTCAGATGCTAACCCAATTACATAACCTGGGAGTAAAGCCTGGTGAAGCCCATCTATTGGGATCAAGATTTGAGACTAGATCAGTGGTGGACCTTGACAAGTCTCAGATGCTAACCCAATTACATAACCTGGGAGTAAAGCCTGGTGAAGCCCATCTATTGAAATCAAGATTTGAGACGCTATAACCAATTTCTTATGAGAACAATCAGCAGAGGTACTGGACACAGTTGGCTTTGCAGCCACATGTACAAAACATTTTAAGATTGGCGAATTAGCCATGTGCACATGTGGATTTGAACTGGAGATAACAGGTCGCACCCGCCAAGACTCCCAAATACAACATATCAAGGCAAAATGTTTGGTCAAGAGAAACACCAGTGCAAGCCTAACTTAATGGGTTACTGAGTGAATTACAAAAGACAGAGAAGTTTATACTAGAGACAGCATTGCAGATCTAGATAATCTATTTGAAGCGAACAAAAGAAGAAGAAGAAGTAAAGGTACCTTATAGTGGCTTCTGCTTTGGAGGACTGAGCACATATGAGAATCCACAGTGTGCAGTGACGTCAAGTGTGATAACATAAATGTGAATATGTAACTCCATTGTAGATACTTTGATGATGTTCGTGTTTTTCTCTCTCTAGACACTTCCTCCGATACGACAACTTACAGCGTCTGCAAGACCTCAAATACAAGAAGAAGATGTCACAGCTATGGGTGAAACCTGAGGCACAGAAACCATTTCTGCTGCACCTTGGGGTTACAGCAAGAAGCCACAACCATGACACATTCCAGGTCTCTCATTTTATGATTTTATTCCTGTGCATCTTCTGTCTTGTGTATGTTTTGTGTATGTCTTGTGTATGTCTTGTGTATGTCTTGTGTATGTCTTGTGTATGTCTTGTGTATGTCTTATGTATATCTTGTGTGTGTCTTGTGTATGTCTTGTGTGTGTCTTGTGTATGTCTTGTGTATGTCTTATGATCTAATCTTCTAACCTGTCTATTTGATATGTTTGTTTTGTGTGTTTTTTTTTTTTTACAAACTATTTAAATTTTCTGTATATTTCCTGTGTTTTTGTAATGCTCTGTCTTGTAAATATATTGTATTTTGTAATATTTTTTCACTGTTGCTAGACAGGAAGAGATCAGATCATATATTCAACATGCGTTTTAATAATAGAGAAGTGTAGAGAATTTAATGTAAATCTGTTCTTATGTTTTGTGGATTATTCAAAAGCATTTGACTGTGTACAACATCAGAAGCTTTGGGAAATCATGAGGAATATGGGCTTTCCATCACATATAGTGCAGCTCATTAAAATGCTCTATCAAGACCAACAAGCAGCAGTCAGAATAGATGGAGAGACATCAGACTGGTTTGGCATCAAGCAAGGAGTCCGTCAGGGATGTGTGCTGTCACCGTATTTGTTCAACCTGAACGCCGAAAATATAATGAGAAATGTAAGAGATGATTTAAACAAGGAACAATATGATGCCCTAAACATCGGTGGTCATGAAATACCAGAAATTCGTTATGCTGATGATACAGTATTACTATCAACATCACAAAATGGTTTAGAAAACTTATTAACCTCACTCCAAAGAAATAGTGAAAATCATAACTTATTTCTTAACACAGCAAAAACAAAGATAATGCATACAAACAAAACTGCCATGGAGAAGGAAATATATGTTAATGAGGAAAGATTGGAAGTGGTGGAAAATTTCGAATATCTTGGGTCACTGGTTACCAACAATGGTGACACAATGAAAGAAATTAAACGGCGACTATCAATTGCTCTTCAAAGACTAAAACAACTGAATAAATTATGGAATTGTACAGATAGAATTACAAAGGTCAGATTTTTAAGAGCATGCATCTTTCCCATTGCAACATACGCCTGTGAGACCTGGACACTTACTAAACAAGCGGAACAGTGCATAAATGCATTTGAATATAAATGTTACAGACAGGTTATAAGAATATCTTGGGTAAAGAAAAGAACAAATGCATCCATACTTCAAGAGCTGAATATTGAAGAGGGTTGGCTAGTAAAGACAATAAAACAAAGAAAATTGAAATATTTTGGTCACTTGAAACGTCATGGAGGTCTAGAGAGAACAATAATGGAGGGGTATATGCCTGGGAAGAGAGGAAGAGGAAGGCCAAGGAGAAGATGGGTGCAGGATGTAGCAGATGATCTCCAGATGGGTGTATCGGACGCAGGACATCTTGCTCATGATAGGAAGGTTTTCCGGAGGGTTGTTATGGCTGCGAGGTTCCGCGAGGGACATGCTACTGAATGAATGAATGAATGATATATCTTATGTTTTGTCTACTTTATATATATATATATTTTTTTAACTTATAAATATTTTCTCTTGAATACTTCTTGTGTTTTTGTTTTAAACTTCCTGTCCTTAAAGAGGCCAAGATGCGAAGACGGCTTATCACAAACATCAGAAAGAGGGAGGTGCTCATTGTCTGGAGCATGATGTGACACCTGGAGAGGTGGAGGAGGATAAGAGACAATTTTTGACATCTTTTTTGTCATGTCACTGAACGGTGCCAGCACAACTAACAAATACATGCTGCTAGAGACCTCAAGACATGTTGAAATATGATCCCTCATGCTAGTCAGTAAACCACTTGGTGGCAATAAAAGGTTAAAAGTTAAAGTCGAGATGATCAACTTTATTGCACTGGGTATAATCCCATATTGCTAGGTCTCTCTCCGCAG